TAGCCGTTTTAATAAATTAAATATATTTGTGTAAATAATATGTTTTAATCATACAGACCAATGAGGATTTAGGATTTATTTAAAAATGTTTAATAACGGTGTTACTATGAAAAAAAGCTGAACTACAGAAACAATAATGCTTTTAAGAATAAACTGTTCATAGTTTTCTTGACAGGTGTTTAAATTTTATAGCTGTATAAGGAATGTATTAAGCCCAGATCATTCACAGAAACAAATATGGATCAATGGGAAAAAAAAAATTTCTATTTTGGGGGCTTCAGTCCGGAAGCTCCCTCTCCCACCCATGGATTAGCCAGTGATGCAGACAAAATAGCTTTTTCATGAATCTCTTACTAAAATTCAAATTTAAAAGGCCTTCTGCAGCTAAGAGAGAAATAAGAAATGCTTATTTCAAAAAGCTAACGGGTAACATAGTTGTGCCCTTTCGACAGAAGAGCCTTTAAACATATGGATGACTCAATCATGATTCAATGCTTTACGTCAGCAATCTAACGACTTTCAAATAACGCAAGAGAGATGAACAACAAGTCGCAATATTACTGGACTCTGGACCACTAGGAATTGCTTTCAGAGTATAAAAATTATTTCTAAAATAAAATGATAACTTATTAGAAATAAAGGATAAATAAATCACCGATTAAACAAACTGAAGTACTTCTTGCGTCAGTTTACATTAGGCTAATTAATTAGATCTATTCATCTGAATTAATTATTTTTAAAAAAATATTTGTTTAACAACGCGTCTTCTATAAGATGAAGGATTGTAAGTTTTTTGCTAATCGTCATCCATGTATGTATTTAAAAAGAGGAAAAATGAACCATGGGGAAAAAATCGCGTAAATTTGAGCTGTGATGAGCGATGATAAAATTTAAATGACAAAGAAGAAGAAAAATAAATTTTATTCTGGGACTAAGTCACCTGGCATTGGAGATAAATTAGATTACAAGATTGTTTAGATCTAAGGTTACAATAAAGAAAAGGCAGATATATGAAATCATTCAGATATGCGAGTTCACATATTTTACACATAAACAATGTGGGTGATATATAATTATCTGTCAGATAACATTAAAGCGATTAACAGACCTGAAAAACGTAAACATTATTTTACACCTATTCGGAAGATTGATTACTGAGGAGATGGATGAATAAATTATGTTTAAATGAGGTCAAGGATGATGATTTGCGTATGGAGGTTAGTAGAGAATTCCATAACAAGGTAGCACGCATGACAAAGGATTTTTTAAAGGAAACAGTTCTATGAGAAGAAATAAACAGATTTGAGGGCTGGGATCTCGTGTTGGACGAATGGACAAAGGAACAATGAGTAAACAAATCGAAAAAGTAAGAGAGATTTTTGGTTGAAAAGGTTCGAAAAAGGAATACATCTAGGAAGTATAGCCGTCTGAAGACTGGATAGTCATTTCAACACGGCATACCAACTTAACGTATGTAAGATTGAGATTGTACTTGAAAAAAAAAAATGTTCACATTTAGCTAAAAAAAAAAAAAAATCTCAAAGGAGGTATGGTGGTGACAAGAGGAGTGTCCCGAGTCCACCGTATCGAGATGTATACGACCGCTAAACACGATGCTGTCAAAGTATATCTCAGTTCTACTTTATAATAAAACCTACATTATAATAAAAACTGCTTAATAATACACTGATGTACTGAGTTTAATCAAAATCATTGGAGCATTTTTGAGAAAATCGTAAAAATGTGTTAGATCGATTATATAAAGTACCACTTCCGGTTTGCCGATTTTGACGAAAATGTTGCTGTAACATAGAAAGCTTATAAAAACCTTAAATATCCAATTTCACTTTCATACTTTTCGTTTTTGAGCTAGAATGGTAAGATACATACAGACCATTTTGCGGGACTTGGTTATTTGGAATCAGGAGACTTCAAAACAAGTATTTTCGTTGAAAACTCAGACTCGAAAATTTTCACGATCGCAATACTTAGCTTTACTATATATTGCATATATAGCTAAATGAAAGTAAAAAGGAGTCTGTATCGCGAGCTATTACTCACTACGTTTCTTTAATCTTAACTCGCATCAGACAATGTTTGGGACTAAACTTCATCTAAACAAACAACTTCGGTCTGTCAGGTGAAAGCAGTTCCTTTCCATACGAAAATTTAAATTAAAAAGACAAAATTTGACGGTCCATTTAACGGAAGAACAGAAGAATTTTGATATGATGTAAAGAATATGCCCCTAAAAGAGGATTCACTTTGACTGACGATGTGCTCGGTTGCATTTTGAAAATTGAAGCGTCAAAGTCATCAAAATAACCCAGTCGAATGGTAGTAAGGTGAGGAAAAAATCAAATAGTCGGTTTCTTATCGGCTTTAATGTTTTTTATTTTAGGATGCTGAATCTGAATACGATTTTCCTGAAGGTAGCAAATAGGAAAATATGCTGAGATCGTAAAAAATATTTTTTTGCCGAACCCTTGGCCACATGGGCAAGACCCTAGTGCATGTGTCTAATATTTTTCAAAGCATCGCCTAAAAAACTTCCTTTGAAATTGGGGATCCCGCGTCAGCAATTTTCCTTTGTTAGTATTAATAATTAATATTTAATAATAATAATAATATAATATATTAAAATTTAATATAATAATATTAATGAGAAGGAGTTAGTCGAGGGTGGGGTCAAATAAATAAAAAAATTAAAATATATAAATTATTTTAATTTTTGTCGACGTTTCGACCCACTTTGCAGGTCATCTTCAGGGCTACAAAAGATACAAACATGTTGAAAAAATAAAAATAAAATAAAAAATAAATATAAGTATATATAAAATACGAACAAGTTGTCAGATACAGAAATAAATTTAATAATGAATATTTTTAAGAAAAAAAAAAAGGAAATACGCCTAATTTAGTTTTTATTAACGGATTAGATGCGAGCTTATAAATTAAGTATGTACATATATAAGTAGAAAAATATGATCTAAAACTGGTTTATAACTCAAAAGGTAAAAAGGGACGATAATTTTATATGAAATTTGGATAAAAAATAAATATAAAAATTTGGTTCGTTAATAAAATATTTTAATTAGGATTCGAGAGATTTAACGAATTCCAACTTTTTTAATCAGAATTACAAAATAAATAAAAAAAATCATTGCCATAGGAATAGTATAAACCACAAGTGAAAACTTCCCAAGACACATGTGGATCATTGGCAGAATAATTGCCTTAAACACAAGGTCAGTTTTAAGACCTTCAATTATATACCACTTCTCGGCCATTACTAATATTTGTTTTTCATAACTTAAAACGGGCTCCCATGTATGAAAGCAATAAAATCATTTATACTTTAAAACGATGTTCAAAAATGGAGGTCTAGGTGTATCTACTGAGTGTGCGCACTAGAATAGGTTTATATATTTTTTTTAAAAACGGTATAAAAAAACAATGAATAATACTTTATGTAAAATATAAAAAAATCTACTATCACAAAAAATGTTGGTTTAATCTAAAAGTACTCTGAAGTTATATTTATCTTAAATCCCGCTCTTATCTTTTAGTTAATTGGTTGCTACAAACAGCAAGTTACCTTCAAATCATTCTAGTAACATAAATTGCAACATTTGTAAAAACAAATTTAAAATGTAAAATATATTAATAGTTAAAGAAAAAATATGAGCAAGGTCCTTTAAATCGGCGCTGGGCTTATGAACTTTCCTTATATGTTACTAAAAATATATAGGCCCCTAGAATTAAATTTAAAACGCATAAACATTATCAAAGAGGAAATTTTCGAAAATGAAATAAAAATGATTAAATATAAACTTTTGAAAAAAAAAAAATCTTTTTACATCAAGTCATCGGTTAATATGTAGTCAAAGCCAAAATTGACAATTTATAGTAATTGTTTTTTAAAAAAATATGAACTAATTAATATGAGATACATTAAAAAATGACATTGATTTGAGAGAAACGTTAATAAAATGTTTTAGAGATAATCAATTTAAAACTGCAAACCTTTAAGTCTTAAGAATATTTTTATTATCTTGTTTAACGTTCTTATTATAAGTACACTAAAAAAAAAAAAATGTTTTTTCTTGTTTTGTTTTCTACTGCTGCTAATTTATATTTTAAGGTTATTTTACAATGATAAGAAAACATTCAAATTTCTGAATATAAATTCAGAGATAAATTATTATGTTTGTGAAAATAATTTTATTTAAAATTTTCAAAGATTATATTAGATACATGAAAATATATTTACTTATGTATATATATTTTCGTGACAAACAATTGCGAGCGAATAATAGGTAAAAAAAAAAAAAGTTACAAACATATTTCAACTAGCTTGGATGAAGACCGAAACAAATAAAAAAGTATAATAGTATCAACTTTTGCGTAATCAAAATCATCTTATGGATTATTGTGAAATGTCAGTACATTTTTAAGTTCAGCCGGCTTTCTTTTAAAGTAACAATTTATAAATGTGAATGTTTATACACGCATAATACCTATTTACATTTACTTGGACTGATTTGTTAATATTAATAGACTAGTATCATTTTTAGCGTTGTATACACTAAAAAATATACTAATCCATTATAAGCCACGTTTCGAGTTCTGTCGGTCTTCTTCAAAGAAGCAAGTAATACAATTTTTTTTACAGTTGTTTATTTTAACCAAAGAAAGAGGCCTTGATAAAATGTAGAGTAATGTGAAAACATGACTGTTTATTTAGGTTATTTATATGAAATATGGATTTTTAAGAGTGTTAAGATAAAAGAGAAAGAGGGGATGGATTACGAAACAGCGGTTTGGTTGGCAGCGCTCGGTAGAAGTAAATCGATAACCTGACGCGGAAGGTTCCGAGCTCACTCGACAACGAAGTGGTGGTACCGATGGTAGTTCCGTAGAATCTCTTATCAATTGTCTTATTTTAGTATTGGATGATCAATAGCATAATTAACGGTAGTGTTACCTTACTCACAAAGATGTCTCAAGTGATGAAACCGAAGGTTGTCTTTGTTCTCGGAGGACCAGGCGCGGGGAAAGGGACCCAGTGTGCTAACATTGTCAAAGAATATGGTTTCGTACATTTGTCTGCTGGCGATCTGCTGAGGGACGAGAGGCAGAGGCCTGGGTCACAATATGGAGAGCTTATCGAGACCCACATCAGAAACGGTACCATTGTCCCGGTCGAAATTACGTGCAAGTTGATAGAAATCGCGATGAAAAATGCACAGACCAACAAGTTCCTAATTGATGGCTTTCCAAGAAACAAGGACAACTTGGAAGGGTGGAAGAGAGAGATGGAGGATAAAGTGGACTTGCTTTTCGTCCTGTTTCTTGACTGCAATGAGAAAGTATGCGTTGGCCGTTGTTTACAAAGGGGTGCTCAGGGAAGTGGACGTTCTGATGACAATGAAGAAACATTGAAAAAAAGAATTCAAACATTTTACAATGACTCCTTGCCAATTGTGGAATATTACAGGACACTCAATATGGTGAAAACTATGGATGCTGGAAAATCGAAAGAAGAAGTATTCAGTGATATCAAAGAAATATTCAGTAAAATTTAAGGACAACTTTCATACATAAGCTTAAATGTGTTACTTATTATGCTATCAATTTGGTGAGGGGGGAATTAGATTTGTGTTAGCAGTGCACTGAAATATTTATTGTAATTATAATTTTTACTTATTTTATGAATACATTTACTTAAATGGTTGATTTTATTTCCTATACATGAGTATAAAAATAAAATAATATGCAGGAGTAAATATGAGTGAATGATTTTATATGGCCTCTCCTTTGTTCTTATGAATTTTCTATGGTTTTATGTTAGAAATAGAATAAAAATCAAACTCATGAACTAATATGTTAGGTATATTAATTCATGAACTTTCAAAATTATCAAAGTAGGTTTTTGAAAGAACCTAGTTATAAATTTATCTTAGCAGTTGAAAAAAGAAATAATACAAGAGTACTCTTATAAAAATATGACAAACTATTATTATTTAATGGAGTAATTAATAATGGACAGAAAATAAATTAGTATTTAAATAAGTAAAAAATTATATTAAATAAATTTTATGTTTAAAAATTACAGATTGATTAAACCATAAAATAAAAATATTGGCATAAATTAACTGGTTAGAATTAGAAATTAGATCATAGAATTCAAACAACAAAAGAAATTCTGTGTACATTTTAACAGTACAGACCCTTAATTAATGGGAAAAAATAAGATAAAAAGTTCAAAGGGAAAGAAAATTTATGGTCATTTCCAATATAAAAATAAAGAAAAATAAGCTAAACGAGTAACTTGTTTCTGATGAAACTTAAATAAATGCCAATCATATAAATAGAATGTAAGCTATAAAAGATAACATGGCATGAATAATCAATATAGCAAACCACTAATTAGTATCCCGCAGGATCAAAGGCAATATATATATATATATCATTTTCTAATAAACAGATATATCTCATATAAGAAACAATTGTAATGTATTTACAAACTAATTAAATCTTATAAAATCATATCGTAGTTTGAACAATATAATTGAACACATTTTTAAAAATATTACTCTTACTTATTTGTAGGAAAATTAGAAAAATATTTCTAGTTATTAAATAGAAATGTATTTGCAGATGTTTTATTTATATTTTCAGGGGAAAAAAAGTATTCCAAGACACTGAATACTAACATAAAAAAAAGAAGTAATAATAAATGAAATAACAATAACAAACTAAAATTCTAAAGCCCAAATGTAATAAAAAAAAATGAAAGTGAGTCTGAATAATAGTATAAAAGTGGTTAAAGGTTTGCAACATTATTATAAATTTATATGATACGAGAAGTAGGGAAGAGGTGAATAAATAAACATATAATTGGTGGGAAACTGAATGCATTGTGGTAAAGTGAGTTGATGGAATAACAAAATAATTTTCTTGTATTTTAAATAATAAACTGCATAACGTTATTGAACATTTATTTAGATTTAGGATTTTGAATGTTATTAGAAAATTTAGGAATATGCTCCACTCTATGATTTACAAATAAAAAAAAAAAAGGCCATGTAAGGGTAATGATTGTACTAATGAAAAGTTTTAAAACTTTCTGAGCACATATCAGAACAGATCTTATGATGTAAATTGTATCTAAAGAACGAACAAAACAAAATACTTTAAAAAGCTAGATATAGTGATCATTTTTGTGGAATCTACTAATGCTTAAATATTGGAATATATAAAAGAAGACAAGTTTTAAAGACATTGATTAGGGAAGAAACATTAATTTCACAAATAGAATTACATAATTGGAACAGAATCTAAAAAAAATAACTGAAATAAATAATATAAAACTTCTATACAAGCACTGCGAAGTGATAAGAATGCAAGAATAATATCAAAGGAAAATCTACCAATGATAATAAACGGAAACATATCTAAACGACAGGAAATAGAGGAGAGAACAGAATAAACTTAATATGTATTTATTTTCTGGACTTTGTAACCAGTTTTCAAAAATTGTACTCTCAATACCACATTGTTGTTAAAAAGTTTAAGGTAATTTGCATTTAAGATTAAACTTATATATATATAAAAAAAAAGTGTTCTTCAAACGTTTTTAGTATAGTTCAGAATTAATTTTGATTTTCAACATCTCTTAAAAAATAGTTCTTTAGATATTTCAATTTTCATAAAATAGATTATTAACCTATTTCCACTATATCAAAATTTAACAAGCTATGTTTTATCTATTTTGAAATTTACAGTCAAAAAATTATTTTCTTGAGTTAACAATATTTTTTTTTTTACAGTAAGTAAATACAAATAGTTATAAGTTCTGTAGTGAGCCAAACCAAAAACAGGTTAAATTATAATGTTATTAAGATAGTTGGACACCTATAAACCGCTTACACAACGATTAAAAAATGTTTTAACAGGTGGCTGATAATGAGAGGTGACAAATAAAATAAGCAACAGTCAGACACCAACTTTATGGTTAATATTCAACCAGTCACATTGGGAGTTGAGTAAAAAAAATATCAGAAGCTACAAAAAAGTGAGAAATGAATGTAAGAAACTAAGGAAAATTCTTTGAAGGTTTATAACATTATTTTTCTTAAGCTACATAATATGAATCGAAGAATTGCAAACAAATATTAAAAATGGTAGTTCTTGGTTAACTAAGGAGACTAAGAGAAGAAAATAGCTAAAGATGTAGATTATAAATAAGAAATATTTCATTGAGAGTTGATTTACCATAACACAAACCTATCTAAATGTAACATATTTTGCTAACTTAAGATAAAATAAAATTAAAATTGCTAACCTTATCCATCAACTTTGGTCCCTTACTGGTCGCAGTTGTCTCCAACTGGTCTCCTACTTCATTGGCCTTTTTGTAAAGTCTGTCCCAATTAACCTTAATGAAACCATTGTGGTTCGCCACTTGAAGAAGTATTATTCCACCTCCAAGTGCTACTGCTGCCATTTTCCCAACTTTCATCATTAAATATCCTGTTAACCTAGGGAAAAAAATAATACATGAACGAGCTAATAAAAAAATTTGTTTTAACATATAACTCTGAAGTTGAATCTTCGACGATAAAATTCTTTTGTTTTTTTTAATGTAAAATTATTAAAAGTTTTTTTTTCGTTTTCCTGACAGAAGATATATTATCCTCTGACCTCCTTATTTAGAATAGAATTCATAAAACGACCTAAAACAAATTTATTGTATTCTGTTTCTCAAAATACAGAGAAGCTCCACCTGAAATACTTTCTCCAGATATGGAAGGCCAATCTGTGGAAAATGGGAGAAAAGGAATACAGTAGATATGTGGAAATGGCGTTTAATAACTGCTCAAATTAAATCTTTAGTACTCTAAGATAGCAAAACTTCAGAGATTCAATCATGGAAATATTAAAAGGAAGTATAAATAATTCTATTAGTTTTTGCTCTCACTCTTTCTTATTACTACAGAGTCATTGAACGATCCTGATTTAGGTATTAGATAGTTTTCTAAAATTTACCAGATATTTTAACCGTTGAGATTCACAAACAAGTGTTTATTGCCATTCCAGTTTGTTCTAGTCCAGAGGTATCCAAATATTTTTGGTCCACGGGCCATATTAAGACCTCTACCTAGCCACGCGTGCAATGGTTTGTGATGAAAAAAAAATCTTGTTGTATAAAAGATATTTCAGATGTTAAATGCACATGCTAAGAGAAGCAACTGATGCGATAAATGCTGTTGTAACTTCATGTTTGAGTGATTAATTAAATTTTATATTTTTTAAATAGTTTTTAAAATTTTAATGTTTAATCAAAGTAACTTTCGAAGGGCGGATTGAAAGTGCTTGCAGGCCGTAGTTTGGAGATCCTATGCTGGTCTATTGATGTAAACATGGAACATAATGGTTAGTATGTACCTTTACTTTAATAAGTGCCCTTCAGATAATCTGCAGGGCTTGCAAATCCTGCTTCACCTTTTCTTCACTTAACATGAAGAAGTGAAGAACTGGCAGAAAATTATTATAAGCTTAACATCGTAAAACAACTCTGACACTAACATTCATGATAAATAATTTGATTACATAAGCTTTCTATAACAGTATGTTTTTTTTTTACTTATAAAAATTACTGCAGTTTTATCATGTTACAGGATTTCATCTGAATTTCTTTATTTAATTAATCAAAAAACATATTAACAAAAAATTGAGAATAAGGGAGAGATCCGATCCTTAAAGATAAGGATAATTTCCATTTTGTAACAAAAAATCTTAAATAAAAAAGGATTATTGTATTTGTTAAAAACAAAAGAGAGAAAGAAACACAAAGGAATAGGTTTTTCATAACATAAAAAAAACAGATAATATGAATTCAGAGTTAGTTAATTCTAATGGCTTCGGAAAAAATTTCCGGATTTAAGATCACAAAAAAATTAGATTAATTTTGTGGTTGAAAATGCTTCTAGAAGAAAATGAAGACTATAGCAGTAAAATCAACAAACACTGGTGTCTCGTAAAACAGACTTATTTTTAATGGTAATCTGAATCAAACCGATTCTCTATTACTTGAAATTTTGGATAAGAAATGCTGGAATCTGCCTCATTGTTTTGTACATTATGTGTAAAGAGGAGTTAAATGTGAATAACCTTATGACAAAATAACAAATTAAATAACTGCTTTAATTAAAAGTGGTCAGGTTATCTTATTGCCTTAAAAAAAAACTTTTTGAAGAAGAGCCATTATCTTCAGGTTAATATCTCTTTATTCCTCGTCCTAGTTTAAGTTTTTTTTAAGCATGGTAATCCCTCCCAACTAAGTTGTAGATCCTTAACTTACACCTAAATATAAGTCCACAACATTTTACAAGAATGTATGTCAAACAACTTATTGACAATAATGTCATAAAAAAGTTAATAATAATTTAATTAAAGTTAATGCGATAATAATTATACTGAAAACAAAGTACATGAATATAAATACACAAGTATTTATATTAAGGCAAACTTAAGTAGGCAAACTTAAAAGATCTTTTAAGATAACAACAAACTCAGGACAGTCTTGATTCAAAAGATGTGGCAAAATCAAGTAATTCTTATAAAAAAAAAAAAAAAATTGTTTTTGTTCATCTGTCAATGATAGAAAAAGTAAATAAAAATAAGGCCGTTCATAGCATAATCTACACATCCATTCTAAGTGTACGGAAACTGATTAGTTGTCAGAATAATGTCATTCAACATGAACAAGAGAGTAAAAAACAAGAACTAATCAATTTAGTTTTTAAAAAGATAAGATAAGAGAAACTCACCATCCTGAGGTACAACCAAAAATGAGTTGTTTAGATGCCGAAGCTTTCCCAACATCTTTAACAATTTTTTCGATTATAGTCTTTGCTTCCTTTTCTACATCCTCCATTGTGACTGGACCAGCATCAGGTGAATTGCCCCTATGAGTAACAGTAGGCATAGTCTAATGGACTATTTATTTATCTACTCCCTGTAAGCACCAGTAACAAAAGATCAGTGAATGCTTAGAATTTAAGAGGTAGGGTGTAAGGTAAATTTATGCTTCATCAAAAGTGTTCTTGATATTATATCAGAATCAAAAAATAATATATTGATCACGACCTTTTATATTATTGTTCAATAACATGCAATTCAGAACGCTCTGACAGTTCTTAGGTCAGTGTACATATAGATTCGATGATAGCTAACCATCTGTTTTACTGAATCACAGGTTAAAAAAAAAAATCTTACCTCACTGTCCAAATATTGTGTATAATTTACAAGATGTTATGAATTAGTTTCAGCTTTTTAACAAGAGGACACAATTTTATAAATTAAAAAAGTGTGTCCCTATAATATATTAAGAGATATTAAAAACAAAATTCATTCAAGACACGACTATTCATCGATAAGCGATATCGATTAATTGCTGAGAAATCACAAAAGTTAGTTAATGAAGTAATTTTCTGAACTTATATCTAGATTTTTTTTTTGTGAAACTGGTATGGCCTAGCTTTGGAAATGTTGATTCTTACATTTTTACTAACCCGTAGCATAATTATATTTTCGGATTATTTATCTCTGTACTACTATACAGTATATTTATCTCTGAAGTGATAATTAGAAAAATGGAGATAGGTTTAAAAAATATTTGGATGATATATATGAATTTATTCGTATCATGGGAAAGCCACATATTTAATCCGCATTTCTGCCAAAACTTAGAGAACATGAGCCTGATAACGAATATGGCTTCAGTAGGTATTCTGGGAGGGTGTTCCGATAGACTCGCCCGATTGCGGTCTATTAATATCTTTTTTGATAAACGTTGATATTTAATTTATAATTCTTTTTATGTTTTGGATTTCTGTTATTTTGCGTTTTCTTTACATTGTCAATATGTGTCCCAAAATAAGAGCCTAGATTCTTGTAAACAACAAACAAGAATATTCAATTCTTAGCAAAGCAAGTACGCATGTCTTAACTCCGTGAGCATAGTTCTGCCCACACCTTTGCTTGTCTCGTACTAGACGAAATCTTTTGCCAAGCTAAGAATTACTTTTCTTTTAAAAAGGCAGGTGACCGGCGAGACCATCCTATGGATTCCCTCCGTAGATCCGCCTGTGAAGTAAGGTAAGGAGTACAAAATAGTGCTGAGGTAAATGTTCCTGTCTTCATTTGAAACGGATTTGGAACTAAACCCCACGCGTCCAATACTTGGATCTATGGGTTTCACGTTTAATAACCAAAAAAGTAATGCTATAAATATTGAAAACGACTCCAATCCTCAATTCTGCAGTTAGACCAATAAAAACAAGAAAAACTTTGCTACCTTCTCGTCCGAATGAGAGAAAGGTGACCCATTCCAGATTTCTCTCCGAACTCAGTACTTCTTGCTACTCGATTAATCAATTTAATGTCTAATAGAGGTGAAAAGGTATTTATCAGAACTTGAGAGAAAATTGAAAAGTGTAGAGAGATATCGGAGTTTTCAAGAATATTACATTTTTTATATTTTTATCCTCGATGGTTGCGCCCCAGGACGATTCCCTTGTCGCCTTTACTAAGCGACATCGACATCTCCGCGTTTATGTATGGCATTCTATTCTCCCATTCCTTTCCAATGCATTGACCACTGTTATCAAGTTTCACTAATCTTCTCCCAATATTTCCTGAGTGATGAGCCCTATGATCCCAGTGCAGCTAACTCACTGTACAGAGCTTATGCAACCACTAATATAATTTCTCTACATATTGATGCTAGAGAATGTGCCATCCTAGTACATTAAATGAGGAACATTGGTGTGATTTAATCTTTCCTCTTAAAGAAATCAGAACCAGAAGTAAAACAATTTCGAACAAGAGTGTCCGGTTAAGTCTACTTGAAAAAGGTTGGACCTGGACTTCAAGAGACCTCTTCCATTAGTCATCGAAAATCACTATATTCTAACTATAATTGACGAATTTAGTAGATTCTGTTTCGCCTTTCCTTATTCATACATTTTTACTGCAACTATCAGTGGACACATAAAAAATCTCTTTTCACTGTTTAGACTCCTAGCATACATCAAGACCAATCATCCTCATTAATATCACAAAAGTTGAATACGTTCTTACATGCCATGGTAGTGGCAATTAGTTACCTGTACCTTATAATCCATGTGGAAATTCTCAATGTCAAATTGAATTGATATAATCTCCTTTCCTTTTATAATCAACCTGACAAACTTCCTCATCTTTCTACCATTTTCTTCTCATGATTGTATTAAGTATAAAAGGTCTCCAGCTCATTCGCTCGGGAATCATTAAATTTACCAAGGTACATTCAAAGGGAAGTACATTAAAAAGAATGACATTACATCTGCGAAAAGTTAAAAAAAAAAGTAAGAGATGTGATTAGAGGTAGTTATTAATTTGGGTGAAGTATTTTAAATAATCACATAAAAAAAGGCCCCCTTTAAGGGAGGGAGGGAAAGGTATTTTGTTCTTTCACTTGTGTTTATGCTTGCGTACAATAAGAGCTAGTTATTTTATTATTGTGATCATCTTACCACCCTCACCCCTGACTTGGGAAAACCCTGTATAGCCTACAAAGCAAGGAAGGGGTGGACAAAAAAAAAATCATTGTTTCATATAAGTGCATTCCTAATTATCTTTGTTTTTGTTTGCATTACAAAGTTAAACATTAAATTTATTAAACAATTTGTAGTTTCTTATCATTGTGTACAGTTTAGTTTCAGATTTTAGTTCAATAGCACTTGAATTATCTTGCAGTCATTGACATGAAATTATGAAAGATTTATTTATTAACTAAGAAGAACAATTATAATAAAATAACTAGTCGTTTGCAAACATAAACGTAAGCATAAATAACAAGTCGCCCCTTGTTACAGTACCGATTATATTTGTGGATCAGTCAGTAGAACATGAAAAACCAATTATAAACTGGAATCATGGAGTCATATTTATGTTTCTTTTTTTTTTTTTATTAAATATTTTTCCATGTTCTTAATATCAAACATTTTGTTAAGGTTCTGTAGATATAGTATTTTTCTCTTGGAAATTCAAAAAAGTAGTTTTTTCAATAATTCTGAAAGATAAAATGATATTATTCAATAACTGCAAGAATAGTAGGTATGCCCCCTTGAATATTATATATAAGTGAAAAAAGATTTTCAAGGCATTTTATGATTTCCTTTGTTTGTACAGATTTTTCTGAAGATTAGGAGAGAAAGGTTTAATATTTCTTTTCATTGAAATGCTAAAATAATTGTAGATCTGCCTTGTATATATTAATGTTAAAAGAAAACTTTATAAAAATCATGAATATTTATTGGTATAATTGAACAAATATAATTAAACATCTTGTTAGTTCATTACCGAGTCACTAAATAAGCTTTTGATGTAGCTAAACTTTGAAATATACCTTTGTTTATTGGGATCACGTTTATGGATGTCAAAATTCCTTGAATGTGTCAAAATAAATTAAACCCTAGTCTATGTCAAAGATGGTTATTGTAAGTACACAACGTTCTGATTTTCTAATTCAAATTTCTCATATTATAATCATGATCAAGCATCTCTACACCATTAAAACTTTGTTAGTGATTTCATTTTATAAAATGTTACTCAATTACTTTTCATAATAAACTGACAATATTAACTTTTATTTGTTTAATTTTAATCAGAATGGGTAAGAAACAAAACAAGTTTTAAAAAATTATACTTTATAATATAAAAAATGTACAATACAGTAATAAGATCTTTAAAACTGCTTGTAAAACACAACACACATTGTATTTATTTATATAGATTTACAAGTAGTTATTCATTCATTCAAACAGCTGTTGCAGTATTCTTATTGTGTTTACATATGTACTTATATATAAAATCTCTCGTATATACATATTATTTGTATAAAATATTATCAACAATCTCAAGGTTATAAATATATAAATTGACTAATCTTATAAGAAGTCATTACTATTAAATTAACATTGAGGAGTTAATAATTTCGATAGATAACCAGAAACATAAATACAAAATAAAAATCTATAATTTACTATATATAAAAGAAAAACAAAGTTCATTTTATCCATCTTCCTTATTCATTTCTATAAATATTGAATAAAGAAGATGGACATGCTTGATAAACAAGGGTTTGCTCGTTGAATGTACAACTAGAATAAATAAGGTGTGATTGACAAAACAAAAGAAATAAAATTGTTTCGTATTGTCAATCACTTAAAGAGGGAATTCATTTACTAAATATTAACATTAATACCACAGTTATCCTCCGTCCCACAAACCGCATGACTATTACATTTTTGAGCATTTACAAAGTGGTATAACATAGTGGCACTATGATACAATGTTTCCAATGCCGTATATACATTTATACTTTTACATCTCGTTTCTACTAACTCGTTTCATTTGGTTTAAAAATATTATTTGAAGTAATATACAGTCTATATATATATTTATAAATATAAAACATGGTACTCGTAGAAAAGTATTAATCTTAAAGCATCTTAAGAGATGGTAAATAGACATTTGTTGTCTCAATTCTTAAAAATTGAGAATGTCTTTATAATTTATGTTGTATTAGATCTTTATCTTGAAAATATTAAATATAATTACGATCATTGTCCTTCACTTTCACTGTCACTTTTATCTGAAAAAAAAGAAGAAAAAACATATCAGTATGATAGGAGATAAAATAGCAGTTCATCTATAAATAGACAGCATAAACAATATAAAAGCATTAAATATAAATAGAAAGTTTTTGATTATTTTCATCCTGCTATGGAATATTTGAAATTAAACTTAATAATTAATTTTCATGGTGCTGACAAAGACTTTGGAAATTCAAAATGGAAACTTCTGTAAGGGGACAAAAGTTTCAAATCTAACAAATCCTTTGAAACTAGCTTGAACATAAATCAGGAAGTTTTGAGGTTTTCATTTTTCGAGGTCATGTTACAATTCAAACCTTTGTTGTATTTGTTCCTGCTCTTTCAGAGCTGAAACAAGATGCACTTAAATGCTAATTTTCCTGAGACAGGTTATTAATTGTTCTTCATTCCTTTCTGATAAACTGAAAATAACTTCATATATCTATAAATATAATGACTCAGTTATTTTCTTACATTCCTTCTTGAGGACATGGCAATCGAGCACTTTGGGACGATAGTTCCAGAGTGCACGGTTCAGAATGTCATATGTTCGTTTCATACTTGGCTCAGATAATGTCTATTTCTCAGGAGTTCTGGAAAATGAATCTTGAAATCCCCTAGGTAGCTCTCATAGTTTGGCAAAAAAGAACACAAGGCCCACCAACTTTTTTTTTTTTTTTGTTTCATAACACTCTACCAACCATTTCTGGCATACGGAGAGGGGAGGAGGGGAAGAGGGAGTTGTTCCAGAAGTAAAACGAAACCTATTCTAACCAGAGTGGGAGGGGGAGGATCGAGTTTCATTCGGTGGGTCTGTCTCAAAATAAAAAGTCATCCCCTCCCAATCCGGATTCGAACTGGCGTCGCTAGGCACAAGGATGCTAGAATGGGCAATGCTCCAACACTCTCGGCCATCACGACCTCACCCACCCACTAGAAGGACTAGTTCCCCCCACCAATATCAGTACCAAATACCAATACCAGTAATGTTTATTTCTCTACAATGCTGAGAAATGAATCTTGGCGATCCCACTCAGATTAGTATGGGGCTGTCAGTGGTTGGTAAAAAGGACCCCAAACAGGCCCATTTGAAGGATGAGTTCTCCTATTTAGTACTAATATCAGACCATTCTTCTTCATTATGTCGTAAGTGATGGTCAACTAATGACAGGAAGAAATAGGTAACTCATGTTTGATGGTCAATCAGATGATAGCTCTTTAGTATTTTGTATTAAATTCTATCTTTTCCATATTTATAAAGTTTTTTGAACCTACAAGCTTCTTGACAAATGAAAGCAGCGGTCCAAGAACTTTTAATTTTCCACCTTTTATTTTTCACTATATTTGTCTTTTTATATTATTTCACATTGGTACTTCAGGATAATTTGTAGAAAGATATTATTAAAACTGAGCTTTCTTAAGTTCAGCTGCTTCAGATACCTCATAAATAATATAGATACCTATATTTATAACCATTTTTTTTAGTCTCATAACCAACATTCATATTTACCAGAAAATGATGTAGACATTTAGCTGAATCCTAAAAAAAGAACGTCTATAAACACATGAGAAGGAATTAGTCGAGGGTGCGGTCAAAAAAATAAAAAAAATTAAAATATATAAATAATTTTAATTTTTTATATAAGTGTTTCAACCGCCTCCCGCAGTGCCACATCCAACGCCCTGAAGACGACCTGCAAAGTGGGTCGAAACGTCGGCAAAAATTAAAATTATTTATATATTTTAATTTTTTTTTTATTTTTTTGACCGCACCCTCGACTAATTCCTTCTCATATCATATCAACGGTCAACCAACTCTACATCGTCTATAAACACAGTTCAGTGTCAATTGGATTCATATTCATTTTCTTATTCTGATCTTTGGTTCAAAATAGAAAGATTATAATTTCTCTAAAATAACCTGTATCACTACAACCCATGAAGGGTCTTGGGTTCAGTACTATTTAGGGAAAGTACTGTTTCAAGGCTAACAGCTGTGCAGAGAGAGGATAGGGTCAGGATCACGCTCAACCGCCATGTATCGTCCCTTAATTAATTATATAATTAAGAGTACCTGAGGCTGGATGTGCCTCAGGAGGGTTCCCCTACCTCAGGGTCACCCCACGGCCAATGAAACAGAATAATGAAATTTTCTGCCAAGAGCCGGAATTCAAAACCTTGGGCATTGGAAGATTAGTGCCCAACCACTGAGCTACCCCGTTTCCTCATATTTTTGTTTGCTATAAAAATAATTTCACACACAAATAAGAAATAAATATATATACATCATTTTCGTAGATTTGAGTTCTTAATTCACAAGTAAATTGGCTTTGTATTTAATTCCTTAGAGTGAACTTATGTATAAATGTTACAAAATTTTGTGCCAGCAAAAATCATAATTAAATTATATGTTACCACTTGCAAAACATAAAGATTTAAGATTTGGTATTAGAGCATGAAATTATAATTGGAAGACCTTTATTTTTTTAATTTCCTGTATAAGGCAATACAAATATAATAGGGTATGTCAACATTTGTTATTGCATGAAAACAAGCTTTGATTTTTTTGTTATCACGGCCATTACCTGATATAAAATTTGTTATATAGGAAAGAAAATGTTAAAGGTTAGTAAATGTGCTTGGTGAAATAAACTACCTACACCAGAATGTTGTGTGGTAGATGTGTTATAGATAATAGGACCCTTTTCCCTAAATTAATTAAAATTCAAATTGAAATATAATTCCTATCACGTTTTTATATTTTATGTACACATATAGTCCCAAAAATTACTAACACCATACAATACCATTGCCCACTATAAGATCACTAGCTCAATTACAAAATATTGAAAAATTGCAACCTTCAAGAACTAGTGGATCTTTTTCATTTATTATTATTTTTTTTTTAAGGTCCTTTCCCCACAACAAAATGGTTAGAAAATATTTACCTTTCATAACCAATTTAACCAGACTTTCATGAAGTTTTAATTCTGTCTTCCGTCTCTGAAATTAAGAAATGTTCTATTACTGCAATCAAGTCCTACGGACAAGATTGTTTAATCTAAATGATAACTATCATCATCAGCAATGAATTATTGAAAAGTAAACAGAGGTGTTTTTTTATTAATGGTGTAATTCTATAAAATAAAGTGTAAGGACAATTACAATTCTGAAACCAGATTTAATACAATGTTAGTTCTCAGTGTTCTATTTAGTCATATTCAGAACAAGTGTATTGCTGGCTTGGAAATAATTTCTGTTGTGTATTAAAATACTATTATTGCATTTAACAGATTCAAAAGGAATACTTTAGTTAATTAAATTCAAATTGTTTTAATAAAAAAATAATTACCTTTCTTCCCTGGATAGGCATGCCTCTTTAACCTATCATAAAGGTCTTCTTTATTTCCATATATACTGGCATTAGATCTTGCTAAACTGTTCATCTTGCCATTGTGCATACCTAAGAAACCAAATGAACGTTTTGAAAATTCATTGATATACCTTTATTACTAGGTAAAAATTATCTAATTTTATATTTTATATTATATCTTGGCTCACTAAAAACAGGCTAGATGGCTAATGACATTGGGACATGATCCCAGATCCTCCAATTTAGAACTATGTGGGATCAATTTCCACCTCAGTGGAATTGTTAATTAATATTTTCCACGACAGCAGGAAATTATTTCCTGGCAATGTTTGGGCTATTATAAAATTTTTGAATAGCATTTTAAATGGAGCTAAAGCTTAAAGCTTACAGATAACAAATCATTAAGACCATTAAAATTACAAATAGTCTATTTATAATATCGAGAGTAGGTAATAAAAATCTAGTTATTCCATCTGGTTTTATAAAGCTAAAAAGCTATAAACAGTAAGATTTAAAAAAATCAATACTCCTATCCAGAGTTACAAAACTCAAAATGTACAAATCCTTGGTTCGAAGAGGATTTAAGGAGAATGGGAGTGGTAAACTGGAGGATAAGAATGAAAGATAGAGAGGATTGGAAAAAGATCATGAAGGAGGCCTCGGACTGTAGAGCCTGTCAGTAAGTAAGTAGACGAAGGCGTATATGAACATTGGGCATTTAAGCCCTGTAAAGTGACATCAATGGGGATAAAACCTAAATGATATTAAAGATCACTTAATTAGACAATGATAAACTGAGTTTAATCAAAGTCGTTTTTGAGCAAATTGTAAAAATGTGTTTCACAGTTGATTTAAAGTAGCACTTCCAGTTAGTCGATTTTAAGGAAAAAGCTGCAATGACATCTAAGCCATATACTTATCTTAAATATATCAATTTCGTACGAATTTTCGTTTTTGAGCTGCACTATTCACATACACACAGACTATTTTGCGGGACTCGGATATTTGGTCTCAGGAGACATCAAAAATCGATTGATCACGAAATGCACTTAACTTGCACTCTTGCATAGTAGTAGTATATCTTTAATCAGTATTTGGTACTGATGTGCCTATTAAAGGGTTAATTACTGATGACAAATTTATAGGTGGCAAAAACTTTTAAAATAATTGTTTTCAAATATAATGATAAGCCATCTAGAAATATAATAGACTAAAAGACGCACCATAAGACATTCTGCAGGTATTATAAGGAATCATGTATCATGAATAATAGTTTACATATCTAAATTTCTAACCATGGTGGTTAAATTAAAATTATAGGAAAACAATGATTATAAAATTACATAATAAATACAATCACAAACAGTAAGTTACATCACTGATTCTGACATTGGTTCAGTATGTGAAATTTTGATCTCTCATAAGCATCCCAAGAGAAAAAAAAAAAAAAAGAAATATTAAACAGTTGTTTGATTAAGAATTAGTATCTGAATGTTAATGTCAGCTTATTACAAAATAATGAGAAAGCCACATAAACTGGATTTGAACAGAAATCGCTTTTAACTTAAGTCATATTGAAGTACCAACAATTTATTTCAGAATTTGATTTCGTAAAATAACTGTACCTTTCATGTAGGTTTCATTATAGAAATTTGGCATTTCCCAGCCATCTTCTTCATCATCATAATAATGGGCGTATGTTGAATGATGTGAAGGAGCAATAGATTCAGCATAAGGTGCAGCTCCATAATAGAAATTTACTTGTGATCCGGTATGATCTGGACTTGTTTGAGCAATCAATTTCTTTGGTTCTTTCCTCCTTTCGGCTCTAAAGAAAGTATTTAGAATTATAAATAAATATATTCAGGTTATTCATATTAGATTGAATTATTATTTTTTTAAATCACTTAAAATATTTGTAAGTATTAGCATTAATTTTAGTCATATCATAATTTGGTAAAGTACTTAGTTTAATGAAAATCTCAAGCATGCAAGAGATTGCCTTCATTGGTGTAACATATTATATATTATAAATAAATAGACAAATTTAAATAAAACAGGAATTACCTTGCACATATCATCCATACAAACAGTGCAATGACAATAAGGAATATTACAGTTGCTGCAATTCCACTAGCAATATAGGCAAATTCTGATTTATCCTCACAATGGGGTCCAATAAATGACCCAACACATCTGCAAGAGGGTGTTCCCCTTGAATCCTTGACACAAGTTCCTTTGTTCTGACAGTAACCTTCGCAGACATCTAAAAAATAAATACATATTAATAATGAAAATGTCTGTATATACATAAACTTTCTTAATTAACCATTAGATGTAAATTACTGACCTGTACAAACTTTTCCAGTTCCGTTATAACCTGGCTTGCAGTCACATTTGAAATCATTAGTTTCTTGAATAAGAAGACAGTAGGCATTTGGATCACAAAGCATCTCTGAACCATTCACTTCACATGGATTCCAGCAATCAGATTTGCTTGTCTGTAAATAAAAAAATAAAGATGATTCTAAATTTTTATAATAACTTGCAACGGAAATGCTTGTTGATGATACTTACAGAACCGATGCCTTTGGTACTGGTATTGATTGGACAAGGTAAGCATGATGTCTGCTGGGATGCTGGTTGATATGTGCCTTTCTTACATGTTACACAAGTATTCAGACTACTATTCAAGAATGTACCTGTATAAACAGAAATGAATGCATTAATAATTATAATTGTAATTTAGCTGTAAAATTACATATACGTAAACAAACAAATATTGAATGTTAATTAAAATCATACCAGCCAAGCAGACAGGAAGAGAACACTCTTCAACAGTTGCTGCTCCAACTTTAGCTGTAGTTCGGCCGGTGGGGCATGATTGGCAAGCAGCTTCCAGGCCTTGTGTCCTGTAAGTTCCACGAGGACAAGGTTCACACTGACCTTCGAGTCCAAGCTGCATGCCTGACCCACATTCATCTCTGCATTCCTACATAACATACATATATTTAGTTTATTATAGTGATAATGATTATTTATTCATTTAAAAAAAAAATTAACGATCAGCAATAAGATGTTTTATTAGCAGATATACCTATATATATATTAATAAGAAATCAGCTCACAACATTACTACAAATGATTTTTAAGTATGGTGAAAAATTCTCAGATTTTAGATTGATTATCACTTATTTTAAATAATTAAAAATCTACTAATAAAATGGATCCTAGAAATTCTTACTTCTTGAGACACAGCCTCAGTTGTTCTCGTCGTCTTTCCAAGTCCACAGAGTAGACATTTGAAGCTGCCTTCCTGTGGTTGGAAAAATCCATGCCCGCAACTTCTGCAAAGCCCTGCTTCTTCATCATAGTATTTTCCAGCAGGGCATCTTTCTGTAAAATTAATTATTATGGTAATTAAATGAAACAATAGCAAAGAAAAAAAAAGTTTAAAGCTATTTTACTAACCTTTACAATCAGCAGCGGAACGAGCTCCTGGAGCGATAGTCACTCCTTGTCGACCAGCAATGGCTGGACAGACTGAGCACTGTAATTGTCCAGCTTCACTTTGGTAGGTTCCAGTAGCGCAAGGCTTACAGCTTCCAGAGTTCTTATCAAAATATGTTCCAATGGAGCAAGCAACTGGAAATAAAAATATTCAATTGTGTTTAAATAACAATTTAAAAACATAAATAATTTTTATTGAAGAAATCCTTATAAAGAAGTATTGAAGGTCAAATAAATGTATTAAAGAGACAATAAAAAGCAAAGAAACATGGACTGATTGTTTGAAATGTGTAAAAGTTTGAAAAACCCAACTCAAATATTTCTAGCATTTCAGGAGTATTAAAGAATTAACTTTTTTGTTTCTGAGGATGATAATATGGTAACAGGGTGACAATAACAATGTGTTTTTGAATAGTAAATAGTGAATGTACAAGCAATCGTGAGTAATTAATTATATCTGATGTTTACATACCACAGGTAGGAGCCATGACGACTTGTCCCATAGGACAAGCATAATCTGAGGTGAGTGATAAAGATGCTGGATCAGGTACTGTATTGGGGAGAATATCATGGACGTCTAATTGATCTTCCTCAAGTATCAGCTTCTCGAGGAGTCTTTGTACTGTTGATCTTTGGTTAGAGTTCAAGTTCTCAACAGGGTCACTAAATTATTTTAAAAAATTAATATAAAAATAGATTCAACTTATTATAAATGCAAAATTAATGAAGTTTCTAGATAACTAAACTGCTTACTTCACTGCAGGGAATGAAATATGTACACTGTAAGTATCGCTTGTTTGTCGAGGTGTCCTGAAAAAGTTAATTAAAATTGTAAAAGAAATTATATTTAAAAGAAAAAATTTCTAATCAGTTATGTAATTTACCTATTGACATCTGCTTCTCTTGATGGTCTTGAATTACGATGATCACATTTTACATCAATTACAAGGTCTTTGCATTCACGGGTCCCTTGAAATCATATTTAAAAAATATAGCATGGTATAAAGTTTATTGTATAATAATTTAATATAATGGTACTATATGTTTTATTTAATATTTTTTGTTCAATTTATCAGTTTCTCTGGTATTTTTATACTTAAAAATCTAACCTAATTATTATTTTCTTGTTCTTTGGTGACTATTACACTTTCAAGATAATTATTTCAGATATTGAATAAAGTATTTAGAAATAGAAATAGAAAATAAACTTTATTCTGGGAGAATGTCCCCTTAGAATAACAATAATGAACAGTTACAAAAGAAAAAAATACAATTATTAGGTCATATAGTAATTTTTTTAATTAATATGTCAGACTAGTTTACTGATAGTACTCCTTCCATTGTCATTCTATTTAAATGTTAATACGATGTAAAAATAAATTCTTTAAATAATTTTCTTGTTTTTTTTAAATATATTTTTCCGATTTTCTTCCATTATTTTAATTATAAGTTCTATAGATGCATTAGTGAATAATGATACAACAATGAAGGTTAATAATTCTTGATTTTGTGGATTTGATTTGATTACATTTTTTATATCATGCAAGCTTATACAATAAATACCTTCAACAGAATAAGAGCAGAAGTTCCAATCTCTGTTGACTAAATTAATTGCTGCTTTCACTTTCTGTCTCAGAACTCCTTGTCCAGCTTCATTACAAAGAACAGATGTAGGGAACAACATATTCACCTTAAAAACTCTCTGGGCTGGCTTGGATGCTAAAAAAAAATTATCAGGTCATTTAATGTTGATATATTTAGACCCATCTAAATATTATTATGTAACAAAAAAAAAAAGTTAATCAATTGACCGAGAAAATTTTACTTACCAGAACAAGCTGGGTATATTAAAGGAAGTTCTGGGTTTTCAGTAGGTCTCCAGAAACCCTCAGCTCCACAAGTGTAGAACTTAGGTACCGGTTGTGAGAAAGACAATCCTGGTCCACAACTTATCTCACAAACTTTGAACTGTCCTCCAGAGCCCCAATCTTTACACTGTTGGTTTCCTCCAATTGGATCAGCAAGCAAAGGACAAAATTCGGCTAAAATAATTGAAAATATTTTTTAATATGCGAAATGTTATTACAGGAGAACAATAAAATTGATAAATATATTGATACTAATTGATTAAAGAACATTTATTAAGCTTGAAAGTTTTAAAACCAAATTTTTGGACCACAAGAATAATTTAATGAATAATAAAATTTGTGTTGAAGACTGATCACTACAGGGATGCTACAAGGATGAAATGCATACCTATATAGGTAGAAAGGAATTCCTTCATAAAAGTTAGCATACACACAAAGAATTAACCAAACGGAATTTTGCTGTAAACAGTTCAGCAAAATTCTAGTAGGATTAAGTGATAGGAAGTAATAGATGGTAGTCACTACTAGCAGTACCATCAAAATTAAACCTTAAGAAAGTTATAGTAATTTTATATAGTATCAGTTTTATTTCAGAAATAAAGAGTTATTTAATAATTTTTAACAACTTTTTTTATAAAATGAAAATAAATATTGTAAGTTTTAGAGGAATTGGATAAGAAATTAATGATGGTATGCTGTTAGGAGTTTTTTTTTTTACCACCCTGCCTCGCCTTTTGGGCTTTATGGGGTTTTCTCTGGGCCAGGGGTGAGAGCAGGAGATTAATGCCATAGTTAAAAGCTCCCTCTCCTTCCCCCTTATGCTGTGATGTGAACTAATAATTATTTTATCGTCTTATCTTCAGTTTATCAGGTTGCCGTACAATAGGTGTTTTGCTCATGCGCTAGCCCACTCAGCCATCCTACTCCTTATGTTAGCAGTAGCTAACTCCAAATCCCTACAACCAAGTAGTGATCTGGAGCGCAGATAAAATATTTTTTTATGTCTTTTAACTACTATAAATAATATTATAAATTAGTTAGAGTTTTCTTTTATGGTGCCAAGGAGATCATGTGCACAAATAGAATATAACTTACACCGCATAGCACAAAATTAATTTAGTTATATTTAGTATCTGATATTCGCTACGTAAGATGTAGAAAGAACATATGGTAAAGATATTGAGATTATAGCTATTTTTTTTGCTATAAAGAGGAAAATAGGGGTACTTTAACTAAGAAAACCAAAGGTATACGATACTGCTCAGTAGGATGTGTAAAAATTAGTGAAGTTATGAAAGAATAGAATTAAAAATAGTTTTCATCATATAATCTTTTTTCTTTGTTTCAGTTCAAATAAAGTTAGTACCAAATAATTAAAAAAACTTACATAATACATAAACTCTGAAGGAACAGGTAGCAGAGTTTCCTGCTTGATCAAAAGCAACATATGCAATAAGGTATGTTCCCCAAAGTAAGCTCTGGCCTGGTCGATGACCGCTCTTCTCTTCAACTTTGACCACGCCTATGTTGTCAGTAAATCTTGGTTCATCCCAGGTAACAACAGCTGATCCATTCTTTGCAATCACCCATAAGTCTCCAGGACAATGCTCAACTTTGGGAGGAATCTGAGAGGAGAAAATAAATTTTAGTATTATTAATGTATCCTAATTATTTATAATAAGCAAATGGTTTATTTAATTATTTTCATTTAAATATTTTACCTTATCGACTTGTAATTGGTCACAGTTGGATCCAGTAAATCCAGCTGGGCAGGAGTGTTGACTACACTGCGATGGAACCCTTCTTTCAACACCTCCAGTGATATCATCATAACCAGACCATGTAAGTACTAAGTTTGGATATAACACTGGCTCTGTTCTGCAATCTCGAACCTGAAGAATCATAAAGCAATTTTAAGGATTGTATCGAAGATTTAAGGAATCAGTTAATGGTTAGGGTTAAGTGAATAAGCTCCTTCAATCGATTGATGATGAAAAAATGTTAACGCAAATAAGAAGAGTTAAGATGGTCTTTACTCTTCCCCCCCAACACTGACAAAAAATAAAAATTTGCCTCATCCGATAAGAAGTATTATATTTGATATATTTATCTAAAATTTTAACAAACATCAATATTATTTTACATAATTGAGGACCCAAAGAATATTTTTAAAATGTGATTCAAACAATAACAATTCAACAACAGAAGATCTGCTCCCTCAACAGAATTCTGATGAAACATAAAAGAATATATAGATACAATTGGTGACACCAATAAATAAAAAGTAATGTTTATAAGGTGGCGAAGAAAAAAAAAATTGTTTGATAAATAAAAAATTCTCTCTAATCTAATGTTTGATATGTCTAGACTATAGATAAAAACTTCAGAGAGAATTTTCCGGATGGAGTTTAGGAGGAAGGTTAAACTCAAGAAGCAGAAAGCCTTCTCTCTCTAAATAACTTCAGATAGCTACCTGTTGAATGTATCATCATGAATATTTTAAACGTATTTTGATTTCTTTTACATTTTCAAATAAAAAAAGATCAGTATTAATTTTTAATTCTCCCTTAAGTTGTTCACTGGTATACTGATGTGGCAACTCCATGAAATCCATAGAGGAGGATCTTACACTATCTTGTAGGTAATTCTAAAATAAAATGTACAGTGAGTAATAAACACTAATCAATAAATATTCAAAGTACCTGTTTTTGAATATCATTCGTGACATCCAAAGCCCTTCCCCAAACTTGGACTTTGCTTAGGTGCCCTTGGAATCCTGCTTCTGTATACGCTTTGATTGTATCTGGCCTAGGTTTGCCAAGAACAACCCAACCACTGAAACATTTGAATTCATGTTTCATCATTAATGGAAAAAAGCAGTTTTTCAAATTTTATTGAAAATTAATCATCTTTGAAATTACTAATGAATAATTCATCAGAACTCACTATTCCGGAAGCTGTTTTCCAGTTCCATATCCTTCAACCTTGCTTGCAATTAAGCCTTCAGTTACAAGTGTCAGGGTGCCCTCGGACCATACGATGGCAACATGATGCCACTGACCATCATTTATGGTAGCATATTCGTGGAAAGCTAAGAAGACATCTTGAAGTTCTGGGAAGATAGAAACTAAAACACCACTTGAGTGGGCCTGAACAAGTACTCTTCTACCCGTTGCCATATAGCCTGAGCTGTAACAACATTATACCATACTATAAGTTAAGATTCATCATTATTAAATTTATTAAGTCCTTTGTTCAAAGTTACATAAAAATATTCAAGGAGAAACAGTACGTATTATCCAGTTTTCAGAATGAAGAAAAAAATAACGTATATCTATTTGTAGGTAAACACATATTGCTTTTTATACAATGCTACATTGATGGTGCAACTGTATACTAACATATATATACTTATAAAACCAATGAAAAAAAGAAAATATTAATTATAGTAATAATATTCTAATAAGTGTTTTCACATACTCAACACTGTAGAGGGTGAAAAATATTCCAGATTCATCTCTATGTGCAAACTGAACCCACATGGCAATAGTAAAGCTGCTTTTGCCAGATAGAACAAATGGAACAGAAAGAGCTGCACTACTGTCAGAAGATTCGGGGAAGGAAAGATCATAATCGACTTGTATAGCTACAACAATTTCATTGATTAAAATATGATTCATAGTTAATCTTTAGTTTTAATTGTTGAATAACTAATCCACTCACTTTTTCTGCAATCATCTCCAGTCAGATTGAATGGGCACTGGCAGTAAAATCTGTTAGTGAGATCAATACATGTAGCAGTTGGTGGACAAGAATTCTCTTTACAATCGACAATGTCTTCATCACAATTTTTACCTGAAGTATAAAATTGATTGTAATTAAGAAATCATTAATAAGAAAAGTAATATTTAAAAGCTGATAAAAAAAAAATGTCAAACCTGTGAAGCCTGGAGGGCAAATGCACATGTATCCTGGGCCCGTATCGACACAAGTGGCACCATTTTCACACACATTTGCTTCGCAAGCATCAAGCTCATATTGACAACCTACGCCTCTGTAGTCTGCAGGACATGTGCAGTTCAATCCTGATCCAAAGTCTTGACACTTGCCTCCATGCATGCAAGGACTACCAACACACCTTTCAGGAGCTGTCTCACACTGTTTCCCATCAGTTCCTGAAGGACAACTAAAAAAAAAAAAAATAAATTAGAAACATTTAAAATTGGTAAATTATAACATATTTATTTAAAAATTCAGGCCCAAAAACAGAATTAATTTGAACGTAGATTTGTTTTTCTTTCATAATTCTGTTGACATTTATTTAAAACAAAAAATATTTTTAAAAAGTGTCTACTATTTATGGTAAAGAGCTTTTCACCAACAAATAACTGTCACAGTAGTAGACCTTTGTAATTAATGATTAATAAATTTGTCAAATTTTATGGAAAAACGTTTCATTACAATCTATTATAAATATGTTAATTTTACAAAGAAAAACAAAAAGAAACATACACGCAGAAGAAATCTTGGAAGAGATCAATACACGTTGCATCGTTTTGACATGGCCTGTTAGTACATGAGCCGATGTCATATTCACACCTGTGACCAGTCCATCCTGGAGGGCATTCACAGCTGTAACCATTAATTCCATCCCTACACTGTCCGCCGTTCAAGCACGGTGATGATGCACAGTCATCTATATTTGTCTTGAAAAAGAAATTAAATCAATTAAGAAATGTAGATGGAATGGTGGATTTCTAAGCTGTATATAAATATAACCATTTTTTTTTTTTGTAAGCAGATTCAATTACAAATATAAAAGTTAGTTACCTCACACAATTCTCCAGTATAACCTTTATTACATTGACATAAGAATTTGTTATCGAGATCTATACATTTTTCTGTTCCTTCCGAACTGCATGGGTCAATTTGGCATTCATCGATTTCAGCTTCACATAAGATTCCTGTGAAAAAATAAGACAAATAAATATTTGTTAAAATGCAGTATAATTAATCTTTAATAAAATAAAACCCATCAACATTTGATTTTTAAAAACTTTTTGTGTTTTAACTGGCTTTAAATATTTTTAATTTATACGTATGAACAAAAAACATTATTCTTATGAATGATAATTAAGAAAATTGTGTTAAAATTCATATATTTAAATACAAATATTTAACTGATTTAAAAGAACAGTTACATACAAAATAATTAAAGTCATATTTCTGTGGCTTTTTTATTTATCACAGGGGTTCTCAACAATTTTTTTCTAGTAGCACTCTAAATTTGTTAAACAAAATTCTTGGCACCCATATTATTATATTTTTTCTTTATACATGAAATAATACATCATAAAAGTAAAAAACAGAGTTGTAATTAAAAAATATATCGATGGATCAGTTCAAAACTGAACAAACTAAAAAATCAATGGTTTTCCGTGCCAATAGCCTGTAATCTCATCTTCATATTTTACTTGGTTTTGTACAACCAAGGTCTATAAAACTACCTAATTTAATTTTTATAGTATAATTATAAATAATAAATAATACCTAATTTAATTTTAATAAATTTTTAATTGTTATTACCTATTTTAATTTTTATTATTACAGGTAATTTTATAGATTTTGGCACAAAACTGCACCATTTCAAATAGCCTTCAGCATGAGTGTAAAAGTTTATGTTTTACTATGGAATATTTCAATTAATTTTTTTTAGTTTGTTCAAAACATTGAAGATCATTTATCTCAAAACCTTGACTTTTGAGTTGTTTCAGTTTTGAATTGAGCCATAGATATATTATATTCTATAATTGTTTTAATTATAATTTAAAAATGTCTTGACATCAATTTTCAGTAGAGTTAATTGAAAAAGTAAAACAAAAAAAAAAAATAATTGCACAGATTTTTTTTCTATTTATATCTGAATGAAAATGACTGTATCATAGGTGAGAAAGTTAACTTAATAATTTATAGTGAACAAAAATTTAATATTATATCTTTTAACATTGAGTTAGTTTACCTAAGAAACCAGGTCGACATTTGCATACAAAAGTATCAAGCATATCCATGCAGGAACCTCCATTTTGGCAAGGGTTAGACGCACAGTCATCAATAAGATGCTGACATTTCTTTCCAGTATAACCAGGTTCACAAGCACAAGAGAAGCCATCGACTAGATCGGTACAAACGCCACCATTTTCACAAGGATCACCGGCACAGTCATTGAGGTTTATCTCACAATTATCACCTGTTATAAAAAAAATAAAAATAAATAAAAAATGTAAAATTCAGTTGTGAGTTTAGGGAGTAATAAATTTAATTTATGGTTACAACTCTTACCTGTCCAGCCTGGGAAACATATACATTCATGAGTAAAAAGTTTATCAATGCAAACACCGTTTTCACAAGGGCTTGGTGTGCAAAGATCAACTTTGTCCTGGCATCGTTTTCCACTAAATCCAGGAGGACAGTCACATTTAAAATCATCTATTAAATCTGTACAGTTAGCCCCTAGTAAGCATGGTTTCTCAGCACAATCATCTGTAATCAAAATAAAGTTAAATCAGGCTTTAAAATTTCAGTTTCATCCAAAACCTAATTTTTAATAAGAAATAATTATTAAAAACATTTATCAATTAACATAAACACTAAAGAACAAATCAATATGATTTATAGTATTTTTTTTAACTTAATAAATATTAAATTAGGATTCCATCTTTTCTATTTTAAAATATAAGAGGTGATAAGTAACAAAAATAATAATTCAACAAAATGAAAAAAACTGATTTTTGGCAGCTTGCTTTGTTGAATAATACTAATAAGTTTCAAATTAAGTAGTAAATTAATACTAACCAGTATTGATTTCACAATGCTGTCCTTCCCAGCCCGCAAGGCATTCACACTTATACCTGCCTTGCAATAATGCTGTACAAGTAGCCTCATTTTTGCATGGATTTCCATTTGCTGTGCAGGGATTGATCTATAGAATAATAAATCAATTCATTGTTCAATATTAATGACTTCACTGTCATGTAACAGAGAAAATAAATTTCAATTCAACTTACTGTAATATCACAATTGGGGCCAGTGTATCCAGAACGGCACAAACAGGTGTAGTTATTTATGCCTGGTTCATCTTTGCACATGGCTCGCTCAGGGCAAGTATCATTTTTACAATCTGATCTTTCATCTTGACAGTTTATTCCACTATATCCTGTAACAATGACAATTATATTTAAAAATTATACAGGGAGAATATTTATAAACACGCTAATTACTGAATTTAATTTACCTGGCTTGCAAGTACATCTATATCCCTGAGGAAGATCTTTGCATGTACCACCATTGTAGCATGGTTGTGATGCACATTCATCTATATCAATTTCACACCTCCTTCCGGAAAATCCAGCAGGGCAGAAACATTGGATGCTATGGGCTGAAATAAGATTAAAACAATTAATATGTTTATTCATTTTAATAATTTACATTAATTTTGTGTTTTGAAATAAACTTTTAAAAAGGGTTGTTTTAAAATTTGAAGAATGAAATTAGAAATGTAATCTACCCATAGGAACGCAAAGGCCTCCATGAAGACAAGAAGTTTCAGAGCACTGAAGAGGATGGCAATCTTCCCGAGCTGATGAGCCTGGTCCTTTGGTAACTAGGCTGGTGCCACATTCAATACAAGAAGTCTGTCCGCTTCGAGGCTGATAGAAGTTGGCTGGACATAATGCACAGGGTGCAAGACCAGTATCTGAGTACTGTCCTGGAGGGCATTTAGCTAAAAAAAAAAAAAAAAAGAATGGTATAAATCCATCTATAAGTGGAACTTGAAGAATAAAAAAAATTATCAATACTATGACCTAGCAAAATAAGTGTAATCTAGAAAATTTTTATTAACTGTCCAATACAAACAACAAAAGGATTTGATATTAAAAAATGTAAAATCTTAAAGCCTGTGAAAGATTCCTCATTAATTTGAAAATTTATGTTTTTGAAATACTTCACTTTAAAATGGTTTTTAGTAGATATAGACAGAATAACTTACAACGACAAAAGCTTTTTCCAGGTGCTGCTGGTTGGTAAGTGTAAGTATTAGCTGGACAAGCTTGACAATCCTTATAACCTCCAGTTGGGGGCTCAGATGTGTAACTGTTCCTGGGACATTCCAGACAAGGAACAAGGCCAGTGGGAGAATATGTGCCGTAACCACAGACAGGAACACAGTCATTGATGTTCTTGGATCCTGTATTTGAATGTTTTGATATCTTAGAATCATTTGATTTAAAAATAAATTAATATAAAATAAAATGAGGTGTTTGTAATCAATTTATTATTTAAATTAATTTATAAAGAGATTTGAGTTGAGTGAAAATACAAGTATGTTTTTATCCATATTTTTATATTAATTTGTTAACACATTCTTTATAGATTCATAAATGGTGAAAATAAATAATCCCTTATTATAATTTAAATTAATGTGATAATTTCCAACATATTTGTAATTCAATATTACTTTTTTAAGGCTGATATAAGTCAATTATGATAATTCTGTGTAAAGATAATTTGATAAATGGACTAAGCAGATATTATTTTTCCTATATATGGTTTTTAAATATTGCAAATATACCTTCTTCTCTTGTGTATGTTCCCAAGGGACATCTGAGGCATGCTCCCTGCCTATCCCTGTCTTGATAAAAGCCTTTTGGACATGGTGTGCATGTTTTTTGCTTCACAGCAGCATAAGTTCCAGCAGGACAATGTACTAAACAAATATAAATATTATGATGTTACAAAAATCGATTAAGTATTAGTTCCTAGATCCATTTCATTATACTATTGTTTCATCAAAGCTTAATGATTAGTTTATCTTTCATAAAAAAAAATTGGTGATAATTAGAAGCCATTTTAATGGTTAAGAACCCTAGATGAAGAATTGGATCAACAATAACTTCGAGAAGTTTTGCAATTGTGTTTTCTTTTATAAAGGCCTTTTCAGGATTACGAGGATAACTTATATAAGATAGTTGGTCATAGAAGTACAGCTAAATCTCTTTAATATGAACATCAGAATTCTGAACTATAAATTCAATGTATTTAAATAAGAATAAACTTATGTACCCACTTAATAATGTTATATGTACTGGTTTAGTTTTAAAGCTGTATTTTATGTATCTTGACCGACCTCTCTAAATGGAATATTTCAGGAAACCAAAAACTCCCTTGCATCAATTAGTTAAATTTTTGAGATTGCACTATATTAGATTGGCCAATGATTTCAAAGTTATAATCGAGAAGAACAATGAATAATCAACAATTAGTTCTTAGTAGGTCTTATGTCTTTCATTGAAGGAGGAGCAATGCATTTATTCTTTATTTTATCTATATAATAAAATAGTAAATTGGACTAAGGAAGAGGGAGAGGAACAGTCCAGGAGGATGAAAGAGTATTGGAGTCGAAAGGCGGAAGGTGTGAAGAAGAACAAGAAATTATATTCACGTGGTCCTTGCTGGCCAATTTGTGTAAAAAAAAAAAAAATAGTATATTTCAATTTATTATTAAAATATCATAGCATTATTTTCTGAATAGATATATTTTTTTTTCATTAAAATTAATGTTATACTTACAGCATCTAGGAACTTGGTTAGGATCCATGTTAAGGACTTCTCCAACGTTACAAGTGAAGCCCCTTGAAATAGTTGATGACAAAGCTTTTAGTGGAGGGCATTGGTTACCAATTGCAGATATGTTCAAAAGTGGATCAATAACTGCACTTGCATAGCGAACTGATAGATCGAAAATGAGATTCAAAGTTGAGCCACAAAGGTCATAAAGCTGGGGTTGTTTTACTGCAGGAATAATAACCAAAGTGAAATCAACCTGATTGACAACAAATCAAAGATTAATAGTGGGTTTAAATTATTTATGTTATTCTTTATGTATATTTCTTAAAATTATACCTTAACTACATTATCATCCAGTAAAGATGGTGTAGCTGTGATAAAGGAAACATTCATATTGACATTAACAGCAGAACAGCGTTGGCTAAGTATAGTGTTGATCTGACCGTAGTATTGAGACATCAAGTCTGTGTACTGTGGTAAGCAGGCTGAGGTGACGGCTCCATTTGCCCTATAGGTCATTGTTGCAATGACATTATAATCAGCTTGTTGTGTATCTAGAAAAATAAAGTATAATAAATTAAAACCTGAATTATAATCAATATATTCAATTATATTATTATTTGCAGTGATATATTATCACCTTCAGAAACACAATCAGGTACGACAGAACTAGGAGTCCAAGGGCTTTTATTTGAACAGCTATATGTTTTTACTGGCTCACCATCAGTAAACCTAGTAATTTGAAAAATATTGAATCAAATGAAATTTTTAAAGATTAAGTTTATGTATTTAAAGAAGTATTTTTCTTTTTACCTAAATCCTCTATTACATGTGGCAATACATTGCAATCCAGCTTCACGTTCTCCTGGAATGCAATTCAGAGCTCCATTTGCCGGTGGCTTCAGTTCCCAATCTACACATGATGTTGCTTGTACAGCAACCTGTTACATAATTATTTATTACAATCAAAATCCAACTAAACGTGATAAGTAATAGATAATAAGATATAAGTTTTTAAATTAAAAGTTAATATTTTTTTAGAACAGTAGATAGAGTAATGTTCAATATGGCTATTTCAATTATAATACTGTTACTCTGTATTACGATTAATGTTATTTATACTATGTAGTTACAATTGTAATACTCTAAGCAGAATGGAAACAATCAAAATTTAAAATATTTTGAATGAACTCAAATCAATGTTAAGCGACCAGGAAAATTTGGGAGCTTTCAAATAAGTATAAATTTATTTATTTCACTAACTTAATTTTATTCTACATTTTATCCAATCCAAAATATTGTTATTATATCATTAGATCAATAAAAAATCAACTTTATTACAGTTTCATTTTTCTATTTTCTTTATTCTCTTGAACTTTGTTTTCCTTAAGATACTTGAACCAAGATTATTATTTTCTGTTGAAAATTGTAATGACTTATTCCACTAAAATTTTTGTGTATTTTGTGACTTGATCCCTTTTGCTAAATGACATCCAATTATTGAATTATTATTATTATATATATATAAATATATGTATATATATATATATATATATATATATATATATATATATATATATATATATATATATATATATATATATATACATACATATATTATATAAATACGATATAATTGTTGATTACCTGGAAATGACACATAGCTTTGTTTCCATACTTGTCCGTTGCAACAACAGTGACGTTTTCAAATGATCCAATGGGAATTGTTGCTTTATCAGGAACAAATGTCACTAAAACTTCTCCAGATGCATCAGAGACATTAACTCTCTTCCTAGTTTCATTGAAGTTAACAACATAACTGTCTTGTTTGTCAACAAGTTCAATAACATAGCTTTGAGGGCAGCTTAGAAGAGGAGGTGTTTCATCTAAGTACAAAAAGAAATTAAATAAATTGGTACAACAAAACTCTTTTATTGATATAGCATTACACTATCAAGATCCACATATTTTAAAGATTTGTAACTTTTTGATTTTAACATTGTGTGTGACTATAATATAAAAGATATAAAAATTATTCAACTAACAACACAAATCCAAAAATATAAATTATGAGCTTATTACCTGTAACAGTGATATTAATTTCACAAATGGCTACGTTTCCGTCGAAGTCATAAGCGACATATTTCACAGCCATATCTTGAAATGTTGTGACAGGAGTCTTAAATCCATGTGGTTTGACTTCTAGCCTAGCGATAGAGCCACTATTATCCACAGCAACTGGTTCAGTTATATTTACTGGTTCTATACCATGTGGGCCTTTTCTCACAATAATTGGATGTGGAGGGCAGTTTTGGAATACTGGAGGTTCATTGTCTACAAGTAATATTATAAATGAATGCCATTATTTTAAAAATGGTTAAATTTTATGACAATCAGAATATCTTTAATTAGCTATTAATCTTAAGAAAACATCTTTCATTTTAAAAATTTCATTATGCAACAATAGTTTGCTCACCAACACATGGAGAATAACCATAATCAAATCCAAGTAGAGGAGCTCTTTTTGGTTCTTCGCAACCCATGAGTTCAAATTTCAAACAAGCATTGTCCATGTAACTTACAATACCTAGAAAACAATATTGAAAAAGATGAAAAAAAAATATGAAACAATAGTTTTTATATAATATCTAATTTAACTTTAGATTTTTACCTAAAATGACAAATCTGGCAGAAACATATTTTGGGAGAGTAATCATTGCAAGTTCACCATAATTTCCAGGATCACGCATTGTGAGATTGAAATTAGGGAAATAGACGACATAGTTATCATTTTCAGCTTGTTTGTAGAAAAACCTAATTTCAGTTGGACGTCCAACAATATCATTTGTAACTACTCCTTTTACTAGAATTGCCTACATTAAAAATAAAAATAATAAATAAGTTAGTTAAAATTCAAAAATAAATTTTGGAGATTTATAATTTTCTTGTTATTTTATGTCTTTTGATTCAATACAGTAAAACTGCTTACCTTGACTCGATAAACTTGTCCTAAATCAACACTAACATATGTAAATGTTTCTTGTTTTCCGCACCAACCAGTTACTGAATTCAACCGAATATTTCTTGCTTCATAGTTAGGTCTGTAATCCAAATAATAATTTATTTATTTTAGTTTGATAAAATGTAAAGAAATATGAATGAATTTAAAAAAATATATTTCTAAAAAATAAACAAACAGAATAGAATACCTTTCAGAGGTTGAATTGATTGCTGAATCGGGGATTTTGCCAGATGTTAAACCAAGGGGCCTGACAACTGTGCATTCGGGTTCTCGTATGCATGAAATAGGGCGAGGGTTAATTAGAATGTAACCTGGTCTAGTGCAGCCAAATTGAACTTCAGAACCCTAAAATTAAAAAAAAAACATTTAAAAATTAAGTTCATATGCAATCAAAGTATATTTATCAACGATTATGTACACATGTTTGAAATAAGGAAGAATAAAATAAGAATAAGAATAAATAAGATCTATTGGGCTTTTTCTGTTTCATAACAGGATGTGACTAGATCATCTGATGTTTGGGGGCTACTCGCCGGAAAGAAATGTTGAAGAAAAAATCTTAGAGTGGTGTTCGTCTCCTTGCATGAAAATAATAATCATAGAAATATGATATGATGAATACATGATATTTTTTTAGAAAATAAATTGTTTTGTTAATAACCGAAAAATTTAAAATTTATCAAAAAAATTAAAATAGTGCAATGACAAGCAACTGGCCAAATAATGTCGCTATTTTGTAACAAAATAAAAATAGAGGATTACAGAAGTATAGTATCATATCCGATATATGAAATATTTACAATACGAAGGATGTAATGATACAATATAAGAAATAATTTTTTCTGTATCACGAAAATTACTTAATCGAATTTTCTAACATATTTATGTAAGTTTCTGAAAATCAATATCATCTTCAGTAGACATTGTTGTTGTAATTTGTAGCTTTAATGCAGTGAAAAAGTTATTATACCTAAATATATATATATATATATATATATATATATATATATATATATATATATATATATATATAAAATAATAAAATAAAAAAAGTAACCTGTTCATAGCTTGTGGCAACCTGGTAACCATCTATGGGCCTGCCAGGATCTTGACAAACAGGACCCTCGCATCGCAGATCTCCAAAGTCCCAAATACCATTACTTTGGCAACGGACAACATTATCGTGTCTGTCAGTTTGTCCAGCTAATTTAAAGGTATCTTGACAACCGAAGAAGAAGGACGATTGATATCTTGTGTCAAGATAATTGCCATATTCAGCTCCTGGAGTTGGAACAGGTTTTCCACAATCTACTCGAGGACACGCAGGAAGAGCCCCAGAGAGCCAATAATCGGGTACTCCCTGTAAAAATCAAATAAATAAAAACTAATATTGGATTATATATGAACGGATTGGAGTTTCAACAAAATCAACAAGTAGTATTTTTAAATATTTAAACAATAAAATAACAGTACAATAGATGATTTGACTGACCATTTTAGGGTCATAAACACACTGCCTAAAAGATGAAGTTGCTGTCCTCCTCAATTGCCTTCCTGGACTGTTACATTGGACAGTGACATTTTGTTGGAATGGTACTAATTTTGATTCTTTATTCAACCTTACAATTTCTAATCCTTCATTTTTGTTATCTCCTAACGATACACATTGAGCATCTGAAAAATAATAATACAATGTTTTTTTACAAGTTGATATTTATGTGTTTAGAAGTTTTTTTTTCTGATAAATTATTCATAACAAGAAGTCTGATCAAATAATAAATGATAACATTCATCTTAATAGACTTTTTCTTTTTAACATACGTTGGCATTCTGGTACTGTTCCATTCCAAGCTCCTCCAGAAGTACATAGAAGAGAAGCAGATCCTACCATGACATATCCAAATTTACATTGAAAACTGACAAGATCCATGAAGTGATATTTCTCCTGAAAGATATTAATGGACTTTGTTATACGATTACAATTAAATTATGGCACTATTTACACTTAGACTACTACCCGATTTTTTCCCAAGGCCTCTGTGTAGCCCTGTATTAATTATTTTTTTGCTTTTTGTATGTATTTTATTTATTTTTATACTTCTCTATTTGTATTTATTTTACTCTTTTATTTGTAAATGGGATTGGTTATAGGACAGGAAACTCAAAAACGGTCGTAAATGTGTTAACAGTGCTGGATATTGAATTATTAATAAACTTAAATCTTAGTCTGAGATATATTCAAAAGAAGATTTGTTTCTTACTTTAGTTGATAAAATCATTCCATTTTCTGGAGGTTCTAAAGCAGGGCACATAACAGGGACACAAGTTTTGTTTCTTTGGAAAATATCACCATCTCTTTCTCCTGTTTCTGAAGAGTCAATAGCAAATCCTGCAGTGCCATTTTTCAGATATAATTCATAGCCGACATTGCATACACAAGAAAAGTTCCCTGGGCTGTTAAAGAGAATTAACAATTAATAATAGATTTAAATAGTTGACTTCATTTTGCAAAATGAAGATACTGATCCATACCTATTAATACATTTTTGATCACAACCTCCATTATTCTCTGCACACTCATTGATATCTGTACATTCAAGCCGAGTACATCCCATAACTTCTAAACGCATACAAGGAGCAACGACATAGTCCTTAAAATGGAAATTAGAATAAGATTTTTAAAGTGTTGAAATAAAACTTATTCATAATTAAATTTTTTTTCTTCTATACCTGAATTTTAAATTTAATATACTGCGCTTCAATGGGAACTGGAAGATTTAAAACAGACAAGCTCGGGCTTAAGATTCTGAACTCTACAGGTGTTCCATCAGGATTGGTATAATCTTTCATTATATCAGTTAAGTTATTGGTGTACTAAAATAAAATGATTAATTTTAAAATAAATCAATACAGGTATTAAACTATTTAAAAGTAAAAAAAAAATTAAATATAAATGATTTACTTGTATTCTAATAGCAGAGGTAAAAGCAATAGATCCATCAGGCCTAGGAGTGCTCTGTGTTCTAAATCCTCGAATAACAGTTGGAGCTCGTAAATCAACAAGTACCCAGTTACCGCCTGGTTCTAAACTGTTTCCGCACCATCCTAGCCTACTGTTGAGTCTCACCATCTAAAATTTAACATGTTATTTAAAATAAAATATTGAATCAGATGCTTCATTAAAGTATCTTTTAGTTCAAAAATCTTAAATAAATTTAATAATAATGACACTAACATCTTTACTATATCCAGCTTCCAACCCAGAGACTGTTATAGCCTCATCTGGAATACCTCCTGTAGTAAAACCGAGATCTCCAACTGGTCGGCATTCCATGCTACCAACAAAACCAGCACGACACTTACAATGGAAACTACCAGCAGTGTTCACACATTCCGTTGAAGCTTGATCACACTGGCTGCTTGCACATTCATTGATATCTATTGACAAACAAATAAATAAATATACTATGTGATTTAGGCAATGAATACAATTAAAATATAATTCTAACTGTGTTAAATTACCTTCGCATCTAGGAAGATTAAGAAATTCCTGGTTTGGACCGCATCTGATCACACTTGATCCAATTAGTTTAAAGCCTCTATGACACTGAATTCTTCCCTCATCACCGTAAAAGTAACTTCTGGTTGTGTCAAGCACAAAACCATTGGCTATTTCAGGTATTATGGGGCACTGTGATCCTGAAAATAATATTATTCATGAGAAAAATGTAATAATGTATATATTGCTATATACATCAGTTTTTTGCTCAAAATATTCTGAAAGAGTAGAGGTTTAATGAATCAGTAGCTGTAAAGATTAGAATTAGCTTACAGAGATGACATGGAATAAAATTTCTGCTTTATTATTATATCATTATTCCACCTGGGGCTAATTAATTGAGATCCTAATTTAAGCATGTATTTATACTTATACTATCAATAGGAATTTTAAATATACTTACTTGAACAAACAGGAACGTCACTCGACCATGTTCCATTACTCATACACAAAATTACTGGATGACCATTCCTTGTATAGCCTGGTTCACATTCAAATCTGACAATAGTACCATAGCTTCTACCACTGCCGTTTAAGGTTGTTGCATTGGCATGAGGTGTTTCTGGCAAAGGTGGACATTGAGATGCTGCAATTTAAATAAAATCACAAATTAATAGAGAAAATTATTTATAAATTTTGATAAAAGTTATCATGACGAAAAACTCTTATTTTTGTATATTACCTAAACAAGCTGGTAACCTTTCCCACCGACCATCTGCTAGACACGAAACTTTTTCAATTGGCCTTCCAGATAAAAATGCGAAACCTGCATAACATTGATACATGGCTTCACCTTTGAAGGTAACATTAGTTGATCCGATCGAAAAACCATTGTCAATTTGAGGTACTGGCCCACAATATACCTCTGCAAAAATAATATGTTTAAAAGTTAACAATGATAGAGGAGTTGTATTAAATGCACTCATATCAATTATGAGTTTTATGTAAAAATAAAGGATATTTATGGAATTAATTTTACCTTGACATCTTGGTATATATGACACAGACCAGTTACCGCCGGGTAGACATTCAGTTGTGATCTTTGCCTTACCAGTAGCAAACTCTTGACCAATGGGACATGTAAATGTGACAACTGTTCCAAATGCAGTTTCTCTACTTGAAGCTAAAGCACCTTCTCCAGGTCTCAATACAGGGCAATCTTAGAAATATAATGAAATATGTTTAAAAAAAAAGAAAAAAAAAGCACTATTTAAAGTTTAATTTTGGGTATGAGTGTAAATATAAACCTGCAGAAAATGTGGCATGCCATCCTTTAGAATTGTGAAGTGCATCAGTAGTAAACCTTACGAGCATATCACCACTTGAAGCTGTTAATGTTATACGAGGTACCGAGTTTCCAGAAAATCCATTTCCTGGATGAAGTCTTAGGCCAGATGTTGTGACACCATCAAAGATTTGAACACTGTCAGAAGGATGAACAAGCATGGAGTCAAAGCGTAAAGAAATTGGTGCTCTCGATGGACTACGAAGTCTTAAAAGACAATCTTGATTGCTAGGGTAGTTTGACAAACCAAAGGCAGGAGAAGTCAATGTTCCATTGCTTGCAACGATTGTGGCACGACAACCTTTAACAAAGATTATGAAACTATAACACACATATTATGATAATATTATGTTAAAAAAAGTTATAATAAGGAATAATTATAAACATAAATAAAGGCATGGATTATTTCAACAAATGTATGAATTCAAAACCAGCTTTTAAAATTCCAAAACAAATGGACTTTGATACATTTATACAAAAAAATGAGAGGTAGATTATTGATTTTTTTAATTTTTAATCATATAGTGTAATTACGTAATTTAATATTTTTACTATAAAAAACTGCTATGTTTTCTTCTTTATTTTTTATATATAATATCTCATTTTACATTTACAATATGACAATAAAAAAAAAAAAAAAAATACAATACCTTGAGAATATCTGATTTTGAAGCCTTTCCTTGAATCTCCAAGGCTTGTTTTGAAATATAGATATAACTGGTTTCCAGTAGACATTACAAGTCTTGGGTTTGATTCTCTCTGTCCAGTAAGCCTGCCTACAGGACGGCTTTTTGGTGTATCACCATCACGAATTAAGATATAATCTCTTCCTAATTCAAGATCTAAATCTTCAATCTGTAAGATGATTTATCAGATTTTAAAAATAAGTTGATACTTAAATGGTGAAGAATAAATTAAAAATAACTGTTTAATTAATTTAATAGACGATGGTTTTTTTAAAAGTTTAAATTATTAAAATATAATTTGATCTCTTTAATTTTTTCCTGTAAAAGTTTTCGTTTTCATTAATTAATGATCAGGAATGTTTTTATGACCAACATTGTTACTTAACTAAATTAACTAAAATTTATACAGTTAAGTTATAATAATATTACTATAATTCCACAACAGACTCACTTCCAAGGTTATAATTCTTCCAGGCTGAGCAGTAATTATATAGAGACATTCAAGACCGCCAGGGTATTTCTTGGGATAGCCAGGTGAGTTAATGGTTTGGGGTTGGGTTGTAGCTCTTAAATTTCCACCACAAAGTTGTGGTTCAGTTTTCCATGAAGCTCTAAATAATAAAAAAATATTAAATTAAATCAACAGTAATCTTTGGTTCATGAGTATAAAATTAAAAAAAATTATGACAATTGGTTCTTTTTTGCTACAACTCGACATTGAAATTTACCTAAAACCCTTCTTTTCAACCGAGGCATCAGTACTGAATTTGATTATCATAAAATTTGAAGCAGACACAAATGATGTATTTGCGATTTCTGGTTTTCCTGAAAGAGTAGCCAAGTTTACTGATTTTTCTTCTGTTCTTCCACCCACAAGGATTTGTACAGTGTCAAATGACTTTTCTGTGTCAAATTCTTGAAACTGAAACGAATAAATGGTAAATATCAAAAGAAAATTATTACCACATTTCAATGAAATAGTTTGTTGACAATAGGTTTTACCTGCAGTAAAATATTATGTCCATGAGGACCTTCGAGAGTCCATTTACAGTTCATCAGTGCTTCATATTTTTGTGGGTAGTTAGGACTCTCAACAACATCACCACTGCTAGCCATATAGTAGTTGCAGTTTGAAGGGCAGTCAATTTCATCAGACCAGTCACCACAGTCATTTTGCTTGTCGCATTTGAACGCTCCATTCACACACTGCCCATTTGAACAATGAAATGATCCTGAAAAATTAAAAAAAATATTTATTTTATTGGACATGTACGGCAAAATGAAAATAAACCTGGAAATGGGGCAGATTAATATTAATATGTTCTCACTACCAAGGGGCATTTACAATTATTGTGAGTTGATATTTTTGATAATAAAAATAATTATGTGAATTTAATAAGGACATTTCTTCACCTGTCCAGCAAGCAACGTATTGTATTACAAATTGGAATGGGCTCCTATCAAAATTGGTTCGTCATTGGATTCAACCGATCCACTATACTTTGCCGATAAATTTTAATTTTATCATTATTCTTTTGGATGTGTTGATAATTTATAACTACATTAACAGCTTTGAAGGTTCATCATCTATCAAAATATGTTACAACTCCACATAAACGTATATAAAAACTAAAGTTTATGTAGGGTAATTGAGAAGATAGAATTAATAAAAGTAAGGAAATGTATAAATTTCAATAATGACAATAAGACAATAAATTTGGACATTCATTTTCAGAAGGAAAAGATATTTTCCTGAAAATATATGATATTGACTGAAACATTAGAAAGTAGTAAATAAAAGTAAATAGAAGTTTTTATATGTGTGAAGGTTTTTAAAATTTCTGAAATTCATTACATGGTTTATGATACAATTTTGTCTTTTGAAAAAGTTTTTTCATACATTATGTATTAATACAAACTGACAATGTTTAATTAATAAATACAAAAAAAGACATTTGATCTGACCATAATTGTGGGTTATAGTTAGATGGTTGACTGTAGTGAATAATGAAGAGAAGGATGGTTGGGGTGATCAGTCAAAATAAAATGGTAAAAATAAATAATAATATTTATTTTAACATTTGCCGTCATTTTGACCCGAAGTTCAGGCCTTCATCAGGACTTATCGAAGCGATTGCTTTCCGAGAATGGTAGCAATAGTTTTTAATTTCACTATTGAATGTCTTAAAATCATTGTTAAATAATTTTTCAAATATAATTCAATTTATAGAAAAAATGTTATGAATAATAAAAGACAAGATGGGATGAAATAACCTTTCACACTAAGTTTAAGTGCTACAGGATAGTTTTGGTGTAATAATGAATGAGCTATCCTCATTAATATAATACCACCAATATCGGATAGAATTATGTTCAGAATAATTTAAAATATTTATTTATGTATGACATGATTAAATGTATATTATTCCGTACCAGAAGGACATGCGTTAGCTCGACAAAGGAAAGGAAGAAGAGTTTCACATGTCTGCAGCTCCCAAGACTGTTGCTCATCTGTTACAGTCACATCAACACACTCACCATAGCTGGAGTCTGGTTGGTCCATGGACCAAAATCCTGAGAAAAAAAAAACACAATGAAGTTAGTGATTCCAAATTAAAATATTCTGAGAATTATAATGTTCTCATGATATTCACCTGCATATTGGGATACGAGCAGACCCGCAGCAGACTCGAGTGTGTTGGTCCGAAGATCGTCCAAGGAGGCAAGCCCTAACCAGTAGTGCTGTGCCCTCCTGTCTGCTGGGTTCAGCTGGCGAAGGGCCAACGAAGCTGTGAAGTTGTTTTCTCCATAAGATTCGACTAGAACTAAGTCACTTCCATACCTGAAAATGAAAAAAAAAATCTCCATTATAATTAAAATATTCATAAGAAGTCCTAGATCTCGCTGTGCTATTAAAGAAGAACACGATTGTAAAAAAAATATAATATTTATTATATTAGTACTAGGAGCAAATTCAGAGAGAGCAAGGGAGGGAGAAAACCATCCTGGGACAGATCACACAAAATATATGACATTTATTTACATTCATTCATTCAGGTACATTTATAATTCATATCCAAGATTACACGAAACGTCCCACATATAAAATGCATATTAATTTTATATTATTTTTAAGTAGGGACTGCATTGAGACCTCCACTAAGTCCCGCGATCCATGGCTGTGATGAAAAAAAAAAAGATGTTCAATAGACGACACATCTATCTAAGAGAAATAATTCATGCAATAAAGGTTGTAGTAACCTGGCGTTCAAGCGATTTATATTCCATCATTTTGTATTAATTTAAAATTTATTAAAAATTTTACCATGTAATTGATTAAATTGAAGCTTCTTTGAAGAAGCTTTCGCGGGATGGATCGGAGATGCTTGCGCGCCAGATTCATGTGTTCTTGAACAGTTTATCTAAAAAACAAAAAGTCGTACGTAACTGAAAATTCATATTTAAGTTAAGCCTGGGATATTACAGCAACATTTTCGTCAAAATTGACTAATCGGAACGGAAGTGCCACTACATAAAATCGATTTTATACATATTTACATTTTTTTCAAAAACTGCTCTAACGATTTTGATTAAACTCGGTGTATCAATGTACAATTAAGTAATATTTAATATCATTCAGATCTTATCCCTATTGGTGTCGCGTAACATGGCTTAAATGCCCAATGTTCAAAATGTTTTCCTCTAAAGTACCTTTAATTTAGTTTATTTTAAATGTTTAACTATCTCTCATTGTTAGGAGTTATGAAAAAAGCTAAATATAATTTTTTAAAGAATTTTATAATTGAATAAAGGAGAAAAATGCTTATCCAGGTCATTAACGAATCTCCGGAAATAATAGTCAGAAGCTATACGTATAATATATCGTTGGAAAGCGGAGACTTTTAGAAAAAATAATATCTAATAAACTAAGTTGTAGATAGTAACGGAGAGTGACTAAAAAAATATAAATAATAATGTCTTAAAACTAACATTATTTAACGTAAATCAAATGTTTCCAAGGAAATTAAATGAAATTTTCTTACTAAATGCAAACTTAAAAAAAAGTATTTAAAATCCACCGAATCAAGGCAAAAGCATTGTTAAAAAAACTTTTTCATTGTATTTGTGTGAAAGAAGAAGTGAAATATAATAATATGAGAAGGAATTAGTCGAGGGTGCGGTCAAAAAAAAAAAAAAAAAAAAAAAAAAATTAAAATATATAAATAATTTTAATTTTTGCCGACGTTTCGACCCACTTTGCAGGTCGTCTTCAGGGCGTTGGATGTGGCACTGCGGGAGGCGGTTGAAACACTGGCAAAATATAATAATGAATGTTGAAATATAATAATATTTTCTGGATATGTTTATAACTTTAAATACACTTGCTGTAGTTTAATAACTCCAGATTTGATATTACATTTAAATAATTAGGTATCTGTTGTCGTTTATTGGAGAAATTATCATGTAAACTTTTAGAAAATTAAACAATTTGATGAATTTTTCCTTTGTGTTTTCTCAACAGTAGCCACTTACAATTAGTGTGACGATTTTTGATCTATCTATGACAGGTAATGCAAATCTCATAATTCCATTTTAGTAAACTTCGTAAATAGAAAATAACAGTTTAATAGCTGATAGTCCTACAATCCAAAATCGACAGATCGTACAATCCATAATCAACCGGTGATATAATTAATAAGATTTTTGTTATTTTAATGATATTAATGATTTGTTAGCTATAAGCTTTAAGCTGTATCTCGGTTAAAATGCATTTCAAAAATTTCATATGAGCCAAAAATTGCCTGAAAATAATTTCTATTCAAAGTATAGCGGTACGTGAAAGTTGTGTGTTGGGCGCACAATTTTTTTTATTTTAGAGTTAGATAATTATGTTACAAATTAATTGTTTAATTAATTAATTATTAAACTATACAAATGAATCCTTTATTAATAGCATGATGGCATTTTTCTTTGTTTTTATTTCGGCTTTTGTTAAATTGAAAATTTCAGTTGTTATTTTATTAATAATTTCTCTATTAACCCTTATTGGATTCACTCTAAAGCTCAAAAAATAACTTAAATTTAATTTAATAATTACTAACGTTTATAAATTAAAGTGTTCTAGAATTAAATAAGTTTATATATATCGTGGAATCGTCAAGTGTTAGTTATAAAAACATTTTTAAAAAATCAATTCAAAATTTGATTTTATTGGAATTATTTTAATTATATTTTTTATATTTTTTTTGTAGCTTTAAAAATGTATTTGCACCTGTCAAAGTTATCTTAATAATCAGCAAATGTGTTTAAAAAAATACAAGAAATAATAAAATGTCAGACATGGTGAAGCACAGTACTTTGCAGCACCTATTTTCTTTTTCATTTACTTAGGCTATTTAAGGAAGAAGATCTCTCATTCAGCGCCTTTTTAGTCTCTTCATATTCAGGGGTATGTCAGCAGTGGCCGTGTCTCTTGTTGTTATGTCCGTTTAAATTTGTATAAAATCTTTGTAAAGGGTCGTTATATGTTGGTCAACTATTGGAAGGTGGAGGTCAGTATGTAGAGCTTTGCTCATCACTTAAGAGAGTGCTTTTCTAGTTTCTAACTAATAAATTATATTTAAACCTGGCAATAGTTAATTAAACCAAAATTTAAATAATGATATCGTATTAAAAAATACATTTATTTTTATGTATATATTTACATTTATGTATTGAAGTAAAATACATTTTATTTAATTCTGATATTGCCTATTTTCACCAAAAATTATAAATAGATCATATAATTTCAATAAAATATTTAAAAGTCATGTTTAATTATATCTAAACCAATTAGGAGATATAAACTTTATATAATATCTAAAATATTTAAATAATATCTTCTCATAACATAACTAGTTATTGATGCTTTGATAATTTAAATATAATCTTTAAATTCCATGAAACATTAGAATATTTTATTTAAAAATGTAATGTAGTTAATGTTAGCGATTATATATATAATAAAACTCTAAAAATTTCTATTATAATTTTGAATTATATGATTTGAGTTAGTACATCGATAACTTGAATAAGTGAAAACACTAATAATAATAAAATACCTGTTAAAACTATTGAAACTGACCATCGTTATAGACCTTATCAACTTGAATATTTGCGGTATTTTTCTGACTATGTCTAGGTCAGAATTGGCGGTAACTCTCGGCCAATCAGATTGCAGTATCCTGATCAAGTTGGCATTTGTCACTGCTCAACCGCGCACTTCTTTGGTCTCCATATTAATTTAGTTAAGATTGGCGCCTTTCGGTACGTGCCGGTTCATTTTATTTTAAATGTGTGAATAGTGTTATAATTCATTAGTTTCAGTTTCTTAAATATTAAATTATTGTATTATTTAATTCTGTTTCGAAAACTGCCTATGTTAAAGAACCACCGTGTTCTTTAAATATGATAGTGAACTTGAAGAAAGAAGGCCTCATTAGAACTTTCAACTGTGAGCTATGAAGTTTTTCTCTGTAGTGCATGGTATTCTTTAATTGTATTTAGACATGTTTTTCCTGTGTTGTTTTTTATTAATTTTAAAACTTATTATATGTGTTAATTCTCAATAGCAGTTTTACATATTTTTTATTTATAACCGTTTATTATTTAAGTAATCTATTTAAACCGCTGGATGAAATTATATGTTGCTTTGCATTTAATACATTCTTTTTCTAATAAAACAGATTTTATAATTCATAACGTGCTTCAGATATTTCATAAGATTAAAAAGAATAAAACTTATGAAGTATTGAAATTCGCTTTTTTGTTGCTGTATTTGTAGAGAGAAAATAAAAACTTCAGAAGTAATATATTGTAATTAGTATCTTGAAAACATATTGGTGCTAGTTCACAAGTGGTTCATTTGGTATGCTAGTGTCCAAGATCACTTCGATCACACTTGTTCCTGCCGGAATTAGCGGAGTATGTCCGGAGGCGATCGAACATCAAATTACTAATTTCTAATGATTCTTATTGATATAATTTTCGCTTATCTTCATTTCATCCTAGTAATAAGAATAGTTATTAGCGTGAAATAAATTATAAATCATATTGTGGTTATAATTTCTGTCAATGATCGAATATAAAAATAAATCGTATATTAACAAGGTAAGTATCATATTTTATAGGAAATCCTTTCATGAAGTTGGTGGCTTCTTAATTTAGCTGGCATTGCCGTTGATTGCAAGAGCAGACTTTGGGGAGCTATCCCTCCCCCAATAAAAGTTTTTAACTCTCAGTGACTTCTATAGCTCAGATCACTCAGGATGAATTATGGACTAATGACAAAACAAATTATTTATCTATCTTTTAAAGGGAGAAAGGAAGCAGGAGAAGATCTTCAGCCCGAAAGACCTCCCTCTTAGACCCACTAGTCCGCTAATGTACAGATGGATGGTCCAAGAGCAGTTAATTGATGAAGAACTACTAGAAGCGTGACTCCGAACGACACGTCACTCCATTATTATTAGCTTTGCTTTGACGCGATCTGTTCCATCGACACAGCAGTTTCTTTCTCGCGAGGATGTTCCCTGAGAACCTCAAGACCCCCGAGCGGTACCTTACCCAGGAGTACGTGTTCATACGGTATCGCAGCCTCGGTAACGACTAATAGATTAAACTCTCATCCGTACGACCCACTTCTGCTCCTTACCGTTACCTTTGTGTCGGCCTCAACGGCCGATCATCCCTCGTCCAGTTTTTTTTCTGTTCACGGGGTGGTGCAGTGTTCGGTGACAGGCGGTGCGGGGTTACCGATCGCTGATCTGCTGGAGTCATGTTCCACTGTGGTGTATATAAAATGATTTTATTTATTTTTGGAGTGGAGAGGCCCCTCCCCTTCTGGATCTGCTAATGATTAGAAGTGCAACTTTATTAAAAAATATTATTAATCGGGATATCCAAAATGAATAATAATTTAAAGTAGAGCGGTTGGTATGTGAGTAGTGTTGCCCAAATACAAGACCGAGACGAGTCTTGGTCTTGTAAAATCAGTCTTGGTCTAGGTCTTGGTCTTGCGCAAGAGTCTCGCAACGGTCTTGCAGTTACTTATTAGCTCATTACTGTATTTTTTAGATAGGGGGAACCTAACTAAGCCCGCAAAATTAGAAGAGTTAAACTAAAAAATATGTTGGTTATACCATTTCTTTACACATAGGATCTAAAATTATCAAGCATTAGTAACTATTTTGCATTAATTTTTATTCAAAAAATCGATTTTTTTACCAGACTTGGTCTTGGTCTTGCAACAGCGAGGCGGTCTTAGTCTTGGTCTTGCACTTTGCAAGACCAAGACCGATTTGGGGTAATACTATATATGAGTAACGTTTTCGAACCTACTCATGAAGAGCATTTAGTTTTTGAATTTTTATAAAATGTTGGCAGATTGGTCAGAATGCTCTCAATTTTTTTTCGGAGATTGTGTCAGAAGACAAAAGTCTTGTTTATAAACTATGTATATTAGAAAGGTAACCAGGTATGTTACTTTCAAGAGAACGTATTTTTTAAAAGCTGATTCGATCTAGAAAAATAAAAATCAAACAAATATCGTTCATCCCAGAAACAAGTTATAATCTGAAAAAATAATATTGTTTGCTCGTTTTCTTCTATTTTTCAACTGTACTCTTGCGATAAAAATTTATTAGTGATAAAAAAAGAGAAAGATCAAACAGATAATGAATCGATGGCTTTCATTGTCTTTACGAGATCGGATGGAAGTCATTCCCTTCTAGGAAATGCGGGTCGGTATCTCGTTTCTATGTGGGTGCAATGAGATCGTAAATAAGGTTATCGATTTTGTTCTTTCCCTCAATCGCTCTGCAATAATATTAGCATAATTGACGAACAACATCTGCTGTATCAATTAGAAATAACAAGGTAATTGAAATAAGAAAGTACTAAAAAGCCAAACCTACAAGAAGAAAAAAATACAGAAAACTTAATTAAAAATATCTGCCAAGTAAATCAGATAAAGCCAAGTAAAGCTTCCTGGGTACTAATCAAAATATTCATATACGCATATATTTCGTTAAGATTATGATTTTATTTAAAACTACCTAGAATAATCAGATAAATTAAGTCTAATAAATTACATTAAGTTTACAAACTAATATGACCTCTCATTGTTATGTCTTCACTGCCTACTTCATTTCAAAGTCATTATATTCTTAATAATTACATTCATTTTAATTTTTATAAGAAAATTAATGAGATTAGTCTGAGCATTTATACATCATTCCGCAAATACCCTCTAACTCTAGAGCAAATCTAATGAGATGTTTTTGAAATATAGGCTGAAAAGGAAAATCTTTTTGCAAATCCATAAGTGAAAGTAGGGAGTGGAATTTTATTTAGGTAATAATAGATTTTTTTTTACTAATTTCCAACATCCCTTCAACTTTATGCCCAAGCAAATGCACCATTATTGAAATATAGGCGTATTAATATTAGTAAGTCGATGAAATTTATATGGGACCATTAATGTACGAACCCCGAATATTCTGAAAATTTCATCAAATTAATGGAAGTAAGCGACTTACCCGTCTCATAAATTTTTATAAAGACATAGAAACTATAAAGCAAAAATAAGTATGATATAATAAAATGTAAGATTTTATATCAACCAGTTTAGTTAAAAGAGACAACATTTTTGCTTCTTCATTAACGAAAATAAGGGAAGCATGATATTCGTGTGGAAGGTTAAAAAAAAAAAATGTTATCAGAATCAAATATTTTCACACACATTTTACATTTTAGACATCAAGGTACAAATTTGTTTCCAAGTCTGTCTGTTGATAAATCTCTAGGATTACATTTTTTAAGGGATTTGTCAGTTGGTGCCTAGACGTTTTAATATTGATTTCTTTCGAATTACGTCTGATTCTTTCGCTTAAGTGTGTTTTTCCTTGACAACAAATAATAAATATTCAAATATAGCAAATTATATAACAAATAAAAATGGTGAAGGAGCTATACTGACCCTACTTAACAAATTCTTATTTATTTATTGGAATAAATAATATTTTGAAACAACTTTAATTTTAAACTTTAAACACACAAAAGAGCTATTTTAGAATTCTTGACTTCCTCTTCTTGGTGGTGCTACTTTTATGGCGTCATTAAATCTATGTTCGTGTTCGGCATAATGATTTTTAGTGTGAGCTGAATTTTTATTTTATTTTTGGGTCGCTTAGTTTTTATGTTGTTCTTTTGTTTGTTTTTTTCTCTTCAGGCTCTGCTTCGTCAGAAAAGGTTTCTAATGGCTTAAGGAACGGTTCGGAATATTAAACGACCTTTTCGAAACTAGACCCAAATGCATGGCGCTGGAAATTTATGGAAATATGAAAATTATTGGAAATATTCAAACCGGGATTACGGGTTGGAAAAACATTCAATAATATTTTTTGGTAATTTTAATTCAATAACTTTTCATTCGATAATAATATTATTTTAATTAGATATCAACTAGCAGACTTTTATTATTTAGGAAAGATGGTAAGTGAAAGTTGTGTGGTGCGCATCCAGCTTTTGAATTATACTTTACATTAGTACAAGGCAGAAAAAAAAAAACAGATTACATACAAACAGGAAGGAAAAAAAAAAACAAAACAACCATTTACTAGAGACATCTCACCAGTCATCTAAATACACACTGAAGGAAATGGGAGTTTGCATTAACGCAATAGAAGAAAGTTATATTGAACAGCTGATTAGAAGGGATCGGATGTAATAAATAGATTAAATAAAAAATAATAACAAATAAATAGTAATATTATTTGTGGAGTAGCCGTGTAGCCATCCTTTGGGTTTTGTCAAGTATAAATGTTACATTTAGCCTGGAAGATTTTCTTTTATATTTAATGATTTGCTATTATTTTATTTCTTTAAATTCATTTATATATATATATATATATATATATATATATATATATATATATATATATTTTTTTTTTTTTCTTATCCCTTCTGATCAGCTGTTAAATATAGCCTTCCTCTACTGCGTTTGTGAAACATCCTGTTTACTTCAGTGTTTAACTGGATAAATAGATGGCATGTCTTTAGTTATTTTTTTTTCCTTTAACATGCATGTAATCTAGTTTTTATGTATTTTAATTATTATATTGTTGATAAATAAATATGTTTGTTCGTTACAATTAATTTACATTTTGATTAAATATACATTTACATTTCAATTATTCTTTATTACTTCCGATCAAGACAACGCTGAAGTCTTAAATGGTGAGAAATGTTTTGATTGGGAATAAATATTTGTTAAGGAATAAGACCTCAAGAGGCGGACCGCCATCTTATAAAGAGGTCAGCGGGATTCCTAAACCAGACCTAGTTTACCATGAGTGTCCTCTATAGCTCCATCAGCTCTTTCATTGAGGTTATTTAAGACATAGTTGTTCAAAGTCCAATCCGTTGGCCTACAATATACTTAAAAATCTACGATTTGATCGGCCATTGTTTCATCAAATTTTAGCCAAATATTGTTAACATATAATTAGAAACTTATGTGTATGAATGCATCCAAGATGTTTGTCAAAATAAATCAATTTTGAATTTTCAATAATTTTTAAAATAATGTTTGTAATATATATATATATATATATATATATATATATATATATATATATACGTATTTTTCTCAGTTTATATATATATATATACGTATTTTTCTCAGTTTCTTGATTATTATCAAACTTCATATAAAATATTTTAGAATTAAAACTTCAATATATATATATATATATATATATATATATATATATATATATATTTAAAAACAAATTAGCTTCTTTATGATTCAATATGTTTTTTATTAAATATCTAATATGCTTACATTTCGTTTCCTTAGGTATTTAACTGTTATCTTTTTTATTTTAAATTTATTTTAATTCGACCAACACATACGCGATCTCTACTGCAGATTTCAACTTAAACTACACGGACATCACAACGGACTTTTATTAACGACATGGCCACAACTGACACGCCTCTCAGGAGACGACTAAAAAGAAGCTGGATGAAAGATCTCCTTTCTTGAATTAAGGAAATAAATCAAGACGAAGTACTGCTGGGTACTATTTTTTTCCTCATCTCTAAAATGTCAATTTTTCTTACTAGTTACTGCACATCTGCTTATTGTCAAGCTCGGGTGTGGATGGAAATATGAAAAAAAATATATATATTTTTTGGAAACTTTCTTTTTACTAATCTAAAATATAAAGTGTGTTTTGTCACACAAAAAATAAAAAGTATTAACTTACAGACATATAAAAAGTGATTCAACAGTATAATAATACGTAACCTATTCTAATCAATTGGGAAAATTGAGATAAATTCCATAGTCCTAGAAAACTCTATTTATAATTATTGACCAAATTTGATCTAGGACAATACCAATACTGCCTATACTGGGGTATAGTCCTTGGTAGAGATCAAATTATTAACATCCACCTATAACTTCGTGAATCTTATCATAACCTACAAATTTTTAATCTAGGAATATTCACAGAAATGGAGCGTTTTCTCATTAAATTAATCAACTCAATTAGGTACTAAAAATTCACAAATACCCATTTACTTTCCACTTGAATCATAAGGTAACTTGTTTACAAAATCGAAAAAAAACTTTATTAAAAAATATCGAACCTTTTCTTCTGTTCAGTTTATGTTACTCTGAATCATTCGGATTTCCCTATCCATAACGGAATCCTGTCACCTTCAATGCCACAAAGTCCACAAAACGTTTACGATATTCCTTATTAATTTAA